CATTGGAATATCCTGGCAGGAGCATGTGAAACAGCTCTGACTGAGGGGGAAGCGGTCGGTGCATTTTGGACTGTGTGAGTGCAGGTGTGAATGCCTACACAAAGTGGGGATTGACCGCAAGCCACTAGAGATCATCATATTTAAAGAAGGAATTTGCATTAACAATTTCAATATGATTTCATGTTTGCTTCACGCACAATTTGACTGAATACACTGGTACATTCCTCCATATGTTAACACGCTTAACCCGGGACAGCTTGTCTTGATTATGAACCGACTTATGCTGAACCACATAAAGAGGGTCAGCTGTCCATGGAAAATATGGTGCAGCCCTTTGCTCTTTCTTCAGTGTTTCTGCTGCTCCATGGAAAATTCGTACGCATTTTACTTCTGTCCTTTTCCACTTTCTTCCATGTGTGTTTTGTTTCCTTCATAGCCAACGGCTCAAATGGTGGGAGGTGGTGTTGAACCTCCTCCGCTGATTGGAACAAGAGGACACCAGGCTACATGACCCCCATACACAGGAGGTTGATTTAACATCTGCAATAAACCAGATGATTTATAATTAAATATCCCAAAATCCAAACCAATCACCATTTTCAATGCTGAAGCTGCTGACTGCATCAAGCAGATATCATCTGATTCAAGGACTTGTTAGCTGTATCGGATTTACTCCTGGGCAAGAGTTTTACTATTCCATGGATAGTAAAAAAATTCAAAGCCAATTCTGTTTTCGCCCAAATTAACTTCTCCTTGACTTCAATACAACAGGGAAAAGGAAACTAAAAACAAACCAGATGAAGCATAGGAGCCAGGATACTTGTCAGTGCTCCCAGAGTACTAAGAGGTGTGCCCTTTACATTTTCACCCTGCCACAGCTTAGACTTTAACAGTGACCATGGATCTCCTCCTGGTGCCAGCGGTCAGAGATGTCCTCTGAAGCTGTTCATTTCCTTCCTGCAATCAAAGAGGTCACTGTTGAGCAAGACTTTCTACTTAAAGAACTAATAAAAGGCTCTAGCAGACACCAAGGAGTGTCTGCTAGTGAATTCATTTTCACCAGGTCCAGAGAGGTGTCTCCGGAGGAGGAGAGAAGAAAGAGCAGGAAGGGGGGAGCCTTGGGCAGCCTCAATAGCAGGATAACACCCCTTGAATTCCCCGGGGCAGGGAGGTGGCTGGGCAGCCCTTTCGCCTGTGTAAGCAGTCAGTAGAGATTCACTTGAGCTGTGGCAACAGCAAACATGCCAACAGTGGATCAGGAAGCAGTTTCCTCCTTCCTATCATTATATCTACATATAGGGGGTAATACAGCAATGCAAAATTACTGCAGTTGCTCAGGTGTCTTCCAAGGATTCATTTGAGAGAGATATTCCATCAAATTCCCACATTATCCAGCTACAGAGAAAGGACGTTCGTGTGCGCAGGCATTCTGGCAGGAGCTGTTTGCTTTGGGGCCAGCTGTAATTCAAAGTTATTCTGAATATTACACTGCAGCAGCCTGGCCAAGCCCAGTAATGCTGATTATTAGGGCTTTCCTGGTTTTCCAGATGGAGCTGATTTCATTTAGTTCTCTCTCTCTCTCTTGTAATTAATAACTTGTCCCTTTTGTTCATTTTGGAATCTTTGTTTTATCTCTAGCGTTTTGTAGAATAGTTTCCAATTTACTTAATCCATTGCTTGCCTCCTCGGTGCACGTAGCAGAACTCATTCAGCCATACAGTTTAATGACGTACAGCCCAAATCTCTGCTGCACAATCTCACATCCACTTCACATCGAGCTGGCGTTTTTGCCATTTATATTTTATATGCTATAAACTCACAAATCGCACCGTTTCATACTAGAGCAATGTCATCATCTTTTTTTTTTTAAAAAAAAAATACCCTAACCACTAGCAAACATATGGGATCTGTACATTCTGTCCTTTAAACAAGTGCAGATTTAGCAAGGAGGGGGAGGGAAAAGGAAAGGGAGAGCCACGTCCCCCCGCTGCCAACGCAATGCGTGTTCCTGCAGCATCAGTGCTTGGATTAGGCCCATGGCCACCCTACTTAGGTTTCAAATCAAGAAAAAAAAATAGATGGAACTCGATTCCCCGCTGCCAGTTTTTAGTGATATTAGGCTTCTGCATCGAGAAGATATTTTTTTAAATAGTGTTCACATGAGGCTAGCTGCTTGCTTTGAGAGTGCGTTCCTAAGTGGGATATCAGATGTTAATAAATGATGAGTATTTAGTCTGTAGGCATATTACAGACCTGTGTAAAATGGGCTGTATGTGGCTAAACGCTAGCTGGTTGCAAACAGGGTTCCATGAACCAGCCTGCCTTTTTTATGCTTTAACTCCTAGCGTGCAGCAGGGTTCTTCTATCCAGGACTGGGGCTCCTAAACACTTCCACAATTTAAATAACTAATATTAATCTACCAGAACATCTAAACAAAGGATGCATCCGAAGCGTATAGATGCAGTGGGCTGGCACACAGTAGCTGTACATTTGTGTGTACGTGCACAGTCCCACGTGTCCCCTGTCAGAGCCAGGCTGTAGGTCTGTGTGTACGTGCACAGTCCCACGTGTCCCCTTAGGGACGGGGAGGGCTGTCCGTGGGTCCCTCCAAGGGCTGCTCTGTGGGGAAGGAGGTTGAACCACCCAAGGCTGGAAGCCCTACAGCACAGGTTCTGCCACATCTCAGGGCTGACCCCAACTCCCGTGGGACAGTCACCTCCCCCAGCTGAGGGCACCAAGAGTTGAGAAACCCAGGTGTGGGGATTTCTGGGCTTAGGCTGTTGTTCTCAGGGGGATGTGGGTGGATGGTTGGTCTTTATTTTCTTTTCCTTTGTCCTCCAACTGCTTAGAGCATCTGGGATTTCAGTTAGTGTATATTTTAAAGCCTTTGTTTCTTTATCCTTCGTGCTGCGCCGTGACATTGAACGTGCTTCAAATGAATGAAAACCCTCCTTTAAAGCTACTTACAATTCAATGCCTGACTGTCTCTGGGACCACATTTGGGGGTTCTTAGCAGATTAATGGCCAGAAGGTCACAACAGAGCGCAATGCGTATGACTGAATATTAACTTTTAATAGAGTGCATTGAGCTCAGGAGCTGATTAGAGCCTTCATGAAGCAAGAGCAACGCTAATCCTGGAAGGACTCCTAAAATCTTTCGTAAGCTGCATTTAATTAAAAGAAAATGAAATACGCAAGAGTTGATGCACGAGTCGTACATTTGTGCATCCCACTCAATGAATGAATCATTTCCCTGCCATCTTCTCCGACACAGAAATACCTTGCAATCCATTAAAGATGCTTAAATATTTTTACAGCCCCAAGGGACCACATGTCACCACAGACCACCCAGGGCATGGCCATCAAAGTCCAGAGCTGATCTGGTACAGCTATAGAGCTTCTGCAATGGTTTGAGTAGAGGATGACATCCAGACCAGGCTGTCCACGAGAGCACATAATTGCTGGTATCACTGCTAAGGGAAACATTAACCAAACTATTGTTAAATTCACAAAGTAGATTTTTTTTTATATTTCCATACCCTTCCCATAAGATATATATGGCATATGTGCATCCGGGCCAAATCTCAGCTGACGTGACCCTACCAATGGCACCACTTCATCACGGGAACAGCACGTGTCCTCCTCACACAGGCCCAGTGGTTACCAGTCTCCCCAGTCCTTTTACTGGTAGAGAGCCACAGGGGGCCAAGAAGCTGGAACTGGAAAGATGAACTATGAGGCAGATGAGTGTGAACTGGTCGAATGGCAGCCAGATCCAGTGTCCACAGGGGATGCAGTGTGGGACCAACCAGTCCCCCCACGGAACATGGACTCCTCTCGGTGGCTCCGCAAAGGGCAGGATCCCATGGCAGACCCACAAAGCAGAGCAGCCCTGAAGACACACGTGCCTCGTGCTCCAGTGAGCTGGGGACCTGTCAGCCTCACTCACGTCCCCTCAAAGAGCTGGGGACAGTCGCTAGATCAGCAGCCTTCCCACTGGATTAACACAGAGCTTTGCAGCTCTGCCGGCACCGTGCCCGCGCCTGTCAGGATCCATCAGACAGCCCAGCCTTAGCAGCTCATAGAATAACTGAGTGAAAAGAATAAAACTACCCCTTTCTGAAAAAGCCAGAAACACTCTTAGCTGACACTGAACACAGTTAGGGTTTCACAGAAAGGAGGTGGTCTAACTTTTGGGCGCTGAATGAGAAGCAGCCAGGCTGTGGTGGATGGGCCATAGCTGAACGGGCAGAGCGGTTCCCATCCCAGCTGCCAAGCACTGAATGGGATTCAGGGACACCGAAACAACTGGGATGGACTGGGGGCACCAAAGGGGCGGAACAACTGGAATAGGGTTGTGCAGAAAGTGACAGGGCCATGGCTGTTTTTTTCTTTGCTGTCACCCCCTCAAAATGTCATCATCATAAGCTGAAGGGCTTATGAATCAGGGAGCAAAAAGAAGATTGCTCAGGTTTTTTGCCTTCAGGGACATTTTTCTTAATATATTTTTTAATGTGTGCTGATCTAAGGTCAAAGTAAATCAGGATGAATGATTACCATCACGTTCGCATCAGGACCAGCATGTTGTGCTCAGACGGGCCCTGCAAGTCAGTCAGATCCTGACGTGATCCTCACTTGTGTCCTCACATGGCACGAGCAGAGCCTCCGACGGTTGTGCACCCACACTCAAAATGCACGTGTGCAGCAACGTGACCCCCTCCAGGCATCAGGAGTCAGCTGGGTCCATCGCGTGGTGGCACTGGATGGGCCAGAGTAAACACGTGTCCCACCACAACCACACTGGGAAGCATGTTCCTAGGTCTGTTTGTCACCACCAGTTCTCGATCCTCATGTCCTCCTTACAAATCACTGCAGAATAAAAGCAAATCCATAACACCTAAATGAAGCTTAGAAAGGTTGCAGGTCTCTTGAACTCATGCAAGTGATGGGAAAAAAGTACTTAGAGCCAAAAGCTGGTGTTTAACAATTTATTCCACAGGTCAGTGAGTGGGAAGGAGGGTGATGCCCGGTCTCAGCAGGTCATCCTTGGTAGGATGAAAGCTCAGCTAGAAGTAGTTGATGACTCTTCTGATGGACTGGACATTGGCGCTGCGCGCTTGCCATGCATTGAAGTTGCTGAACTCACCCCGCTCCACCACGTACATACGGCCTCGGTAGTTGGGCTCCTCGTACAGCACCCACCTGAGTAGAAAGGGAGGGTTACTGGGGCTCCAGCAACGTGGTCACACGAGGTGGCCTCATGCCCAGGTTGAGTGGTTGCATTTAGGCACTGCAGTACTGCAGACTATTGCAGCCTGATGGTCCTTCTGCAGTCCTGGTCCCATCCTGCACACACAAGTGTCCCCAGTGGAGTTAACTACTGGGCTTCCCCCCATTTCCAGTGCAGCCTGGCAACTATCCACAGCCAGACTGGACCTCACCTTTAGAAGAAGTTGCTTTGGGTTACACCAGGGATGAAGCCTGAGACTAGGGGCTCCCAGCTTCACATTGCTGTAGGAATGGGTCTCTCTGAGCCTTGCAAGAGCAACAGAAACTATTTGGTATCATTTGGTAGCGCTAAAGAAGGACATGAGTCCCCTCAGCTCCTGGATAAGCCCATTTTAGACTGTAAGAAATGTGCAATGCTTGAAGGATGTTTTAACTCTTTGAACTGACTCATTAGCTGTGATGGGAACCATATCTAATATTTTCTCTCTTTGCTAGTAATTCTCAATTTGATGAGCAATTCTGGTGGTCGAGGGACAAATTTTGCTGCTCTTCTTTCCTTTCATCCCTTCAGGACATGCTGTGCCATGGTCTTAATGTAGCCACGTGTGTCACCTCTTTCCTCTGTTTAAATTTCCCCTGCTTTTTAACCAACCTTTGCCCTTGCTCTGATAGTTTTATAGTCTAGTTTCCACCCCATCATTGCTGAACTGCTCGTCTCCACCTAATTCTTCTCCTCCTAACTTTTTTAAAGGCTTTTATGAGGATCTCTGCTGCTTGTCCCAGCCATTCACTCCACAATGGCAACAGAGCACAGATGCAGCCTTCCAAGTCATTTGGTTTCTGTGGTCTGTCTCTTGCCAGGAATTCAGCTGTGGCATCGGGGTTGGGACCTACTGCACGTGTGGATTTCCAGGGAGAAACTCCTTTAAGTACCGGATGGCTCAAAGACTGCTGGGCCTCCAGGGTCAGACAGCAGCTGGTGAACTCAGATCAGCCTGACCCTGAGCAAGAAGCTGGAGACTTTGGAAAAAAGTTCTTTGTAAAACCAACCACCCACAGGCATTATTAAAAAAAAAAAAAAAAACCAGAGGTTAGGATATTTAGTTGAGCCACCTTATAGATTCTGTGACGTGTTTGGATTTATTTTGTGTTTCTGAGAGGACACCAGGTGGGACTGTGGTGGGTCCCTTCTCCATCTTGTGGAGCACCCTGTGGTGCAGCACCACTGCAGGCTGCTCGGCCAAGGCGTTCAGATCCTGAGCATTTTTTGCAGCCAGTTTGTATCCAAACTGGAATTACGAAGCCGTCCTCAGGCTTTTCCCTTTGAAGCTCACTGTGCAGCACAGGGCAAAGTCTGCCCACTGCTCGTGTGAGTGCAATGGCAGGGTGCCCCAAAACCATGTGCCCCCCCATCACATATTCACTGTCAGAAAGAGTGCTCAGCTCTTCAGCTTAATTAAGAACAATATATAAAATTATCATCCTTCTCTGGATACACCCCAGCCTTGTTCATAAGGCATGCATGCCTTTTTCCCTTTTCTACCCCATCCCTTCATCTTGTCCGCACCTCTCCATATTTTTGGATGATCATGGGCTTCTTTCTCCATCAGTTCCCCATCCCTCACTCAAGTGCTCCTGAAAAGAGCTCCCAATCCTATTTTCAGCACCTTCCAATCACTCCCTCCTGCTGGGAATACCTAGCATTATTGAAAATACTGCATGGTGGTGGGACAGGGATGTTCAAAGGGCATGGGTGGCCCACCACAACATGGTGGTTCTTCCTGCTCTGCTCTGGGGCATCTTTCAACAACTGCTGGACCCTGGGGAATAACGCAGGGGGTAGAGCAGCCCCTCATAGTCCCTGTCTGTCCCTGAACCTCTGCATTTCTCTCCATACAATTAATGTGTCATGGAGGGGATGGGACAGGCCCTGGGGTAGATGGAAGCAGACTGCGTGACCTGGTGGGGTGATAAGAACCCACCGTCTCGTCTCTCTGCTTAGGATAAAGCTGCAAAAAAAGAGGAATAAAAGGAAGAACAGGAAGATGGGAGTGAAGTGTGTTGGCAGTGCAAGGTGATGAGTGAAGGCTCGTATGGCTTTCTTAGCTGTTCCTTTATTGCCTAAAATTTACGTTCTCCGAGGCCATCAGCGAGCGAGGAAATCAAGTCAGTCAGGAGCCCAGAAAACAAACAAAAAATCCAGAGGATCCTGTCCTCAAGCCCAGCATGGGAGAGCTGATCCCAGCACAGAGCACGCAGCCCTCAAACGCCTCGGTGCTGTGTTTCATTAGTGCATAAACCCAGAGGACAAGGGAATAAAACTCACATGGAAGCAGCGCGAGCCCCGTGAGCCAAAACTGGCTGCTTGTACTGAAAAAACTAGCGGGGGGGTTGCTGCAGCTTCAGCCTGGACCAAGCGGGATGCTTTCAGCAGGGCTTGAGGTCACTCATCCTCCACGAGCAGCGCCATGAGCAGATATCACCTCTGCCCAGAAAGAGGTAATGTTTATTGAGCAGCAACGTTTGGGGACCTGTTCTGGTTGATATTTCCCAGCCTGACTGCAGAACATCAACCCAACGCTCATAAATGCTTCAGCAGGATAAAGGGTTGGTCTGGTTCCTTCAAGTTACATCACTGTAGCGTAGAAAAGCCCTTTTTTTTTTCAGATATTCTCTCCCAGGCTGTAAAATAAACTCAAGATTTTTGAAGTCGTTATTTCTAAGCAATCCTCTGTGGACCGGCCAAGGCATAAAGGAGGACAGGAAGCTCTCGACCTTCATCTAACACCAGATGATACCATGTGTGATCCTGGAGCTGCCTCTGCTCGTGGGATGGGCGCAGCCGCTCGCCGTGCAAACCCCAACAGCAAACCCCAACAGCAATCCCATTTCCAGCATGGCTTTAACAGCGTTACCATCAGCCTTTCAGCCTGTGGGGGTGTCAGCGGTCGCCAGCCCCAAAAGGGCAGAGGGGAAGGTGCAGGACACCCTCAGTCCCACCATGCCAAAGACAGATGTTTCTCTCTATTCCTTTGGTTCCAGCTGATCCATCATCACTTCCCGCCGGCATGGCCACCCCCACAAGTGCAGGCTGCAGCTTTTTAACAGCACATGACGTCACCCACGGATTTTGAAGGGGAAAGCAAATACTTCAGTATCTGACTGATGTCACGTTGCGGGAATTAAGGGGGAAAATTGCAGAGCAAGACTTCAGCGGGCAGGGAGCTCAGGAGGATCCTGCTTTACTCCTGCTTTCCACACACACAAGGTAGAACAGACCCACTTTCAGGCTGGGGATGTGCTGGAGACAACCTGTGGCTGAAACTCCTCTCATCTTCGGTGACCCCACCTCCTCTGCTCCCCAGATGATGGGTCCTTAGAGGGCTTTGTGAGGTTGAGCCGGGCACCAGTTACACCTGCAGCATCTCCGGAGTCACCTGGGCTTATATGGTCCATCCAAAGGAGAAAAGCGGTGCCATAGGGTCCTTTTCTCCTCCCTGGAATCACCTCTCCGCGGCAGCATCTCCTCCTTTCCTCCCTCCTCCTGCAGTCTGGGGCTCTCTGCACCATCCTGCCTTTTAATGGCCTTTACAGACCCTTCCACACACTTGCAACAACCATCTTCTGTGGGCCTGGACGGAATGCTACAAAACTCAGTGAGTTTCTGCACTATGCTCCTCCCAGTATTTTATTTTTTTCTATTTTTTTATCACTACTCAAAGCCTTTGGGAGGCCATGCAATGTTAACATAAACAGTCCAGGCTCCCATGCAAGGGAAAGCAAGCTCTGTGCCCCTTATATATTTTGTAGGGGAGGGGGGAAAAAATCAATCTAAAAAATTTAAGTGCTTGAAAGTTTCTGGGCAGCTTCCCAAGTTCTCAAGCTCCGGGCTCTGCTACAGGGACACGTGGGGTAAATAATTGTCCCTAAAGCTCTTGCCAGAGCACTCCCAGGCTCTCTCTTGGCTTTACAGGGTTGGTACTTAAATGCCTTTTGCTTCAAATGCTCAACACTAATGGACTCCCTGGTGGGCTCCAGCCATTTCTTCCTATCAGGAGCTGGTAGCTCTGCTCCTTAGTTTTGATGAAACCCCACTGCCTGATCATAAGCCAGCTTTTTTGGAAGTGGAGAGGTCTTGGTTGAATCAGAGAGGGTCTTGCAGGACACTCGCTGTCAGGATGTCTCGAGCTTGGATAGCGACAACCTTTTCCTTATTCTAGGGCAAAATTGCCGTTGAACAGAAGGGTCCAACACCCCGTGGCGGGTGCAGGTGAGATGCATAATGTCCAGTCCAGGACAGGAAGACAAGAGCCTTTCTGTGCTCCGTCCTCTGCAGGGGCTCCCCTCGCTCCAGCCACCCTCTGCCCAGCTGTAGGAGGATGTTATGGCATTCCCCAGCTCCCAGCACGCTTGCAGTGAAAGAGGAGACAGCAAGATAACAACCCATCTCAAACAGGTGGACTCAGTCCTCAAAAAAGGACTGACAGTGTCAAGAAAATGCAAATTGCCACCCAACAGCAAGAAAAAGGCAAAGCTGCCATCCTGCCAAGGCTTCGGGAGCATCTGCAGGGGCAGGAGGACAGGTCTGAGCATCAGCAACGCATCCACAAAGCGGGTTCAGGAGGCACCAAGGGTGACCAGAAACCCCCATCAGCGTGTCTGTGCCCCTGTCTTTCAGAGGCAGGATTTAATTTTGAGGTGAGATGCTGCTGCCTCATTTTTGCTGTCCAAGGAGGAGGTCCCTGGTGTTGCAGCAAGCCTTGGTGAAGCCACTCGCAAAGCAAAAACCCCGACCTGTGTCACCTGGAGCCATCCATCCACCCTCCCTCAAAGCCTCTACGTGGATTTTAAAAAGGTGTTTGGAATCACGCATGGAAATGTTTAAAAGAAAGAAACAAAGAATGGAGAAAAGCTGGGTTTAGTTTTCTTGTTTCATCCACCTCAAAAAAGGCGTCTCAGAGCTCTCATAGCTTGTGCTGCCACCCTCCAAAAATCATGCCCCTTTGAAGCATCTCTCAATGGGCAGGCACCAAAATTTACCTATGAACCATAGGCTTAACTCACATTTCCAGGCTTTCTCCAAGTCCCCCCAGCATCAACAGGTTTTTCCATGACGGGGGGAGTCTCTGCAGCCTCCTGTCTCCCTGCAGTGTGGGGTACGAGGGCCGTGGGGCAGGGACACGTTACTTACGCGCCGTCGCCGTAGACTTTGAGGGCGTTGATGCAGGTCTTGTCCCAGCCTTGTCCCTGCAGGAAGGAGCAATCTTCTGTCAGCTCCAGGCTGGGACCTCTAAAATGGCTCCCCTCAAATATTTCAATCCTGTAATGCTCGCCGTGCTGGGGACAAAGGGATTTGAGTCAACCAAAATTAAAAAAAATAAATGCAGCAAATTATTTCCTTGGCTTTTAGAAGACAGAGAGGAAGATGAAAGGGTGGTTTGGAAGGGGAATGTGAATGCCAGGCCAAGAACCACCGGTGCCAGCACGCGCAGAGCACACACAAACTCATGCCACCTCCCAGCACACCACCCCACCAGAAAAGGAACCACAAAAACCTTGTCTCTGCACCTTCCTGCAGCTGCCATCCACCTGGAAACGCATCGCTCGTGGGGTGTGTTGGGCTCAGGCACACGAACGCATCGCTCGTGGGGTGTATTGGGCTCAGGCACACATAGCCCTTTGTCCACCTACAGGTCCCCCCCACCAGCCCAAACACAGCATCATCTACAGCCCCGGCTCTCCAGGCACTCAGACAGCAAAAAAAGAGATATATCCAGAGAGTACAAAGATGTTAGACCATTTCATAGAATCCTCTAGGTTGGAAGGGACCTTCAAGATCATCTAGTCCAACCATCAACCTAACTCTGACAAAAAAAACCATCACTAAACCATGTCCCCCCCATTTCCCTAAAGCAATCTATATTCCCTCCAGTTCCATGCGTAGCTGCGGGTCCTGATGGGAGCTGTTGTGCCTTTCTTTAAGGAAAAAAATGGAGAGAAAAGAAAAAGAAACCTTCCCAGCGTCGCCTTTGCTGCATGAGCCCTTGAGGGTGACACGATAGAAATTCCTCCGGGGAGATTTCTGCAGCCTGCGGCGTAGGCGTGTGGGAGAGCGTGAGCGGAAAGGATATTTTTAAGCCAAATTCAAGGAATACCTAAATGCATTTTTTCAAATAAACCACGTCAAGGCACAAAAAGGCCGGGCTGTGATGCCAAACCCCACAGCAGGCGGCCGCCGAGCGGAGACGGAGCCTGAGCAAACATTCCTCCGGGAATCTGGGCTGCAGAAATGCCTCGAAAGACTCGCTGGCATCTCACAGGGAGAACCGTGGGCCAGGGAAGGAGGAGCACCTCCTCACACCGCCCGGGCTCCGGGGCTTTGGGCAGAGCATCCCTCCACGTACGGACCACGGAGGTGCTTTGGGAAGGACGTTGCAGACCTGAAACAAACCCATCCCCCTGCCAAAAAGCAGCTCCGGGGCCAACGAGAAACCCCACCAGCTGCAACTGGGCTCATCGTTACCTCAGGGGTCATGAGTGATGATAGGAGAGTCTAAATGGAAAAGATCTAACCCAGATTAATTTTTCTTTGCTACTTTTTAATATTTCTGATTAAACTTTCATCTGAGTGGTGCTTTTAAAAACTTCATAAAGGGAGGGCTATCTAGTATGGGGGAAAAAAATGGGTTTGGTTTAAGATTGCTGGGTTTTGGTGGGGTTTTTTTTAGAATTTGGCTAAAATTTGCTAGGAGCAGCCCACCTGCCCCACGGGGCTGGTTCGGAAAGCCCTGGGGCTGCCCCTGGGCTCCTGTGGCTTAAACTTGCCTGGGGCAACAACCCTCCTTCCTAATTCCCCCATGAGTATTTCATAGCAACTCATGTTAAAAAGCAAAACCACATGATTCCAGCAGAACCTTGCCACCTTGTCTGGAAAACCACAGAAAAATCTCAATGGGATGTACTTTTTTTAAAAAGCAGAGATTTTTATGACACTTATTGATGGAGCTCCTACTACCAGAAGAAACAAAGCCCAATGGCAACTCCATCCACAGAATCACAGAATCTTCTAGGTTGGAAGGGACCTTAAAGATCATCTTGTCCAACCATCAACCTAACTGACAAAAATAGACACCCACACAACAAACAAGGAGCATCATCACTAAACCATACCTCCCAGCACTACATCAACCCGTCTTTTGAACACCTCCAGGGATGGTGCCTCAACCACCTCCCTGGGCAGCCCATTCCAATGGCTGAGAACCCTTTCCGGAGCCTGAGCAAACATTCCTCCGGGAATCTGGGCTGCAGAAATGCCTCGAAAGACTCGCTGGCATCTCACAGGGAGAACCGTGGGCCAGGGAAGGAGGAGCACCTCCTCACACCGCCCGGGCTCCGGGGCTTTGGGCAGAGCATCCCTCCACGTACGGACCACGGAGGTGCTTTGGGAAGGACGTTGCAGACCTGAAACAAACCCATCCCCCTGCCAAAAAGCAGCTCCGGGGCCAACGAGAAACCCCACCAGCTGCAACTGGGCTCATCGTTACCCCAGGGGTCATGAGTGATGATAGGAGAGTCTAAATGGAAAGATCTAACCCAGATTAATTTTTCTTTGCTACTTTTTAATCTTTCCGATTAAACTTTCATCTGGGTGGTGCTTTTAAAAGCTTCATAAAGGGAGGGCTATCTAGTATGGGGGAAAAAAAATGAGTTTAGCTTAAGATTGCTGGGTTTTGGTTTGGGTTTTTTTTAGAATTTGGCTAAAATTTGCTAGGAGCAGCCCACCTGCCCCACGGGGCTGGTTTGGAAAGCCCTGGGGCTGCCTCTGGGCTCCTGTGGCTTAAACTTGCCTCGGGCAACAACCCTCCTTCTAATTTCCCCATGAGTATTTCATAGCAACTCACGTTAAAAAGCAAAACCACATGATTCCAGCAGAACCTTGCCACCTCGTCTGGAAAACCACGGGAAAATCTCAATGGGATGTACTTTTTTTAAAAAGCATAGATTTTTATGACACTTATTGATGGAGCTCCTACGACCAGGAGAAACAAAGCCCAATGGCAACTCCATCCACAGAATCACAGAATCACAGAATCTTCTAGGTTGGAAGGGACCTTAAAGATCATCTTGTCCAACCATCAACCTAACTGACAAAAATAGACACCCACACAACAAACAAGGAGCATCATCACTAAACCATACCTCCCAGCACTACATCAACCCGTCTTTTGAACACCTCCAGGGATGGTGCCTCAACCACCTCCCTGGGCAGCCCATTCCAATGGCTGAGAACCCTTTCAGTGAAAGAATTTTTCCTAATATCCAGCCTGAACCTCCCCTGGCGTAACTTGAGGCCATTTCCTCTTGTCCTGTCGCCTGTGACTTGGGAGAAGAGACCGACCCCCACCTCTCTATACCCTCCTTTCAGGGAGTTGTAGAGAGCAATAAGGTCTCCCCTCAGCCTCCTCTTCTTCAGGCTGAATAACCCCAGCTCCCTCAGCCTCTCCTCATAAGACTTATTCTCCAGACCCCTCACCATCTTTGTCGCCCTTCTCTGGACCCGCTCCAGCACCTCAATGTCTTTTTTACGGTAGGGGGCCCAAAACTGGATACCAGCAGCATCCACTCACCATCCCGACGGGCCGGCAGGAGCCCAGGTGGTCACTGCGGCCGTTCCAGCGGTAGAAGTTGGGGTACTCGCCGTGTTCCAGGACGTACTGCTGCCCTCGGAAGTCGGGGTGATCGAAGCAGACCCAAGCCCCGCTCTGGACGCAGATGGAGTTGACCCGGTTGAGGAAACCTCGGTCCTGGAAGCTGCTGCAGCTGCCACAGACCTCCAGCTTCCTGCCCGTGAAGCATTTGCCTTCGTAAAACGTGATCTGGGAGAAGGGAGGAGAACGAGCCCGTGGTGAGGAGCAGGGACACGGCCAGACCCCTCTTTGGAGCAGATGGGAATCTCTCGCAGATGCTTCATTTTAGGATGGTTTGTGTTGGGTGGGTGGTTGGTTGTTTTTTTTTTGAGCTACTTTCCAGCATGAGGAGCACGGCATCGCTGGTGTTTTTTTTCTTAAGAACCATATTTGTTTTTCTGGGAACGCAGCGCATCCCGCATTTACGACGCTTCCCGCCGCCTGGTGCTTGCTCACATGTATTTCCAGCAGGAATTTTTAAACAGGAAACTCCACTCCTTCTCCCTCTCCCTCCCCGTCCCTTGCTACCACCTTTACTCCTGGTATCACCACTCAGGTCGCATCCTCCGGGACATCATTATCCCGATCTACTCCCTCAACCCGGAGGATGCTCGGGCTCCATGGCTGAAATGGAAGCGGTTGGGATTTTTACTTACTTTTCCTGAGTACTGAGACATTTTCTGCTGGCTGCTCCCCGAGCCCGAAAGCAGGAGCCAAATCAAAAACAGCGAGGGGCAGCGCGATGGACACCCCGCTTTATAGGGGCTGGGGGGGGGGGGGGACGGGGCCGGCCCGGCCAGGGCTTTTTAACAAAGCAGCTGGAATGGGGGGGCTTTGCCCTTTCCTGCTTCGTAGGCAGAACCACCGGTAACGGGGCCTGCTGAGTCCGGGGTTTTGATTTTGGGCAGATGATCTGACAAAAGATTTGCTTGGCAGGGCTTTGGTCGATTAGCCCTGCACATTGACTGCTCCGTTTTTGAAGGACTCCTCTTTTTTCCCCTTTATTTTTTTTCCCTTTATTTTTTTTTCTTTTTTTTTTCCCCCCTTTTCCCCTTCCCCCCCCTCTTTTTTTCCCCCTTTTTTCCCTTTTTACAGCCTTTTTTTTTCCCCCTTTTTAATCCTCTTTTTTTTTTTTGATCAGACAAGAAGCAAATCAGGGAACAGCAGCCTCCCTAAGCACAGCACACAGTTGCTCCGTATTTCATTCCCTTCTTTTTACTCTTTTTTCCCCAGCCTCTCGCCAATTGCAGTGTGGCAGCCAAAAGCGACTGTCCTTGAAGCTTTTTACAGCCTTTTTTTTTCCCCCTTTTTAATCCTCTTTTTTTTTTTTGATCAGACAAGAAGCAAATCAGGGAACAGCAGCCTCCCTAAGCACAGCACACAGTTGCTCCGTATTTCATTCCCTTCTTTTTACTCTTTTTTCCCCAGCCTCTCGCCAATTGCAGTGTGGCAGCCAAAAGCGACTGTCCTTGAAGACTCCTCACCAACAGCACATTGTGCTCCATCCCTCAAAGCACCGGTTTCTCCTTCAATCTTCAAACCTCTTTCAATGGCATCTCTGGAAGCCAAGGACCTAATCCTCTCCGAAGTGCAAAGGTTGGGCTCGCATCGGTGTCATTCACGAGCATCATTTTTATGAATGGTTTGATCTTTCAGCATCGAAGCACCAGGACACAGACGTTAAGTCAGGATTGGAGGGATTTTTAAGCCGTACCATTGACCATAAAGTAGTATTTCCCACACAGCTGCAATTATGGCTTCAGAGTCTGGCATCTCAAACGCCAGTGCAAGGAAAAGCTGCTTCACATTCCCCTCTTCTGTGTTAGAAGAGCATCCAGAGGCTTTAACTGTCCTGTTCTCAGGACAAACAGCAAAGGCCCAGCCAATAAACCCTGGCAATTTATAATTAACAAACCAGATTAGGAAGAGGCAAAGGCAAATGCAGGGAGGTGGCCAATGGCCCAGTGCGCAGACACGTCGCAGGGCACCACGTTCAACTGAGATTTGGCTTTTATCCTATTTAATAGCTCTGGAAGAAACCTCACACCCAGCTCCTACTCATCAAATCCTCCTCTTCGTCACCTGCGGACCGTCAGCCACACGCTTTGGATCCAAACCCTAAGAACTCATTTCTTGGCAGGTCGCTCCCATCCCCACGTGTGCCAGCAGCCTCCCCGGGCAGCCCCGCTCCGCCGCCTCCGCTCCCCGCTGCCTCTCAAGATTAAAGGCTGTTTGGGAAGACAGGATGTCGTTATTAAGGCTTAAATGCACGCCACCCTTTCAATTAAGATGTAAAAGTTAATAAGCGCGTGTGCGCACACACGTAGGCCGGGCTGGGAGACATCGCCTTGACTGGGATGCGCTGGAGAAGGAAGGAGGGAGGTGGCCCAACCCAAACCCTCATTGACATCTTGGTGTTATTCTCTAGGTGCTAAATTAGTCACCAGGTGGTGTCAGAAAAGTAACAGCGCATGGAGAAGTCCCACTTGGAAGAGCAGTAGCAGGAGCGGGGGGCATTAACAGCATCCCCAAAACCAGTCCTTCCCCATGGCCTTGCACTTGGTGCCCTGGGAGGGAAGGAGGAGACGTGTCCCTCTTCTGAGTCATGGCTGGGAGCACCAAGTTGAGGAGGTGGCATCGTTGTTGGTGTTGGGACCCAACACTCCCAACCACTGGGGATAATAGTCCACGAGCTCCATGAGCTGTTTGGTGTCTGGAGTGGAAGATCAACAGCATCCACAACAAACTGGCCCTAAAGTACCCAGTGAAGCAGATATCACGGGAGGAGATTTTTATGGAACCCCAAAAGCCTGGTTTCCTGCAGCTCTGCCTCAAGAGAGGATTTACCTGTTTCTCCAAAGGTGTGAGCTTTAATGAAATCTACAGGAACCTGAAGTATCTGAGACTTGTGCTTGGCTGTTAGATTTGTTAGAAGTCATCCAGCAGGTTCAAAAGCTGTGTTAGGAGAGATGGAAAGAGACTGTGAGAGCTGTATGCTCATTTCTTCAAGAAACCATGTCAGAGATATGAAAAAGGGCCCATCTCTAGAAAAAAAAGGAAGGTGATGGGGAAAAAAAGAATACTGAAGAACTACAAACCTTAATTCCTGGAAAAAAAAAACACTTTCATTTCTTGCAAAGGATGGAATGGCTGCCCATGGAGGAGATAAAAGAAAAGCCTGTGGCTACTGTCAACCTTTCAGGCACATGATGCTGGGGCAAACCTCAGAGCAGGATTGCCTCCCACCGTGGTGCCCCAGAGTAACGGGCTCTTGGGCAGCCCTCCTGCTCTGTGGCTCTTTAAAGGATGAAGCGTTGGAGACATCAACTTACAAGTTTGAGTGTTTGGCTTTAACAGAGAAAACCCAAAAGTCTGAGATTTTTTTTTTTTTGCACGTCTTGGTTTAAAGGGAGTGAGAAATCAGGTTGATGTCCACTTGGCCAGTTCCAGGCTGTGCTGGGTGCCACAGGGCCGAGGAGCCAGGCAGTTGGAGCCATTTTGCTTGAGGTCCTGGCCAGAACCAGAGGTGAGAGAACCAAAGACCTCAGCCATGCAAGATGACCAAGGTTGATTTCTGGTCCATTACAACCCTATGGTTCCATCCCCAACAAAACCAGGTTGGGAAGGACCCAACACTTCAGGACACTGCTGGTGCCTACACCAATCACAGAGATAGACCCAGCCATGCTAGAAACCAGAACTCACGCATCCAGGCCCAAAACACCCTGCCTGGACAAACGTGGTGGCTCCATCCTGCTCTCCTCCCCCATCCCACCTACATGCAGGATCCAGGCACGTCTCTTGCCTTCTTACAAAACAATTTCCATTAGATACCAAGGGGTTCAAGCCAGGTTATGTCAGTATAAATAAGGCCAGACTGGATGGCCTTCAAAACACAGCCATGAGATGCCACCACTGCTTATCACAGGGTGTTGCACAGGATTTAGGGGGGTGATTTTCCATGTAGCTCAGCAGACACTGGCCATCGCACGTATCCAGCACAGTAATTGGCCTCCAATAATCTGCAGAGGTGGGTGGTGCTGGCAGAAGGAAGCTGCTGAACTACTCAAGCTACGGGAGGAAGACGTCAAACTTGCTCCTTCTCTGACGCAGATCTCCTCAAGAGAGCGGGGCGTGACTCCTGGAGGTGAATCTTTGGGAGTGACTTCACTAACGCCAACAGGAATGGTTCTTAGCAGAGGCTGAGCAGGATCCACATTCTGCTCGGAGGGACCTGCTGCGGCCACCACAACCTGCGTATAATAATTAAGTGAGCAACAGCCAAGGAGTTGCACCGTATCCTCTGGAAGGGCCACGCTCCAGCTTCTGGAGGAGCTTCTGGTATTTGCAAAGCACCTTAAGAGCCAGCAGAAGGAAACATCTGTCTCTCAGGGCTTTGAAAAGGCCATCTTGCTTTAAAAAGCCCACAAATTTCTTCACGTATCATGTAGGAGACACTTCTAGCTGGTTAGCTATGGGACAGCCATGGGGCTACTAGCTCCTTCCCATGGAGAACTTTTCAGCTCACTGCTGAAAAGGATGAGCACATCTTGTGGGGCACTTCAGAGAGTGAGAAACCATTCTTAACAATCAGTGGAAAGTTTCTATCACACCAGTTGCCAAGGCACTAATTTCTGCTGGTGATTAACCCATTCCCAGTGCCTGGGTACACCCTGTGCTGTCTCCAGGAAGGCTGGTGACACTAACTGCAGGAGATCTCTGCAAACCATTCAAGCAGGGAAAGGGTCTTCCAACCCACACCTTCACTGGCAGAATGCATCGCCTGTTGCTGAAAACGGGAATCAGCTGCAAGGGGATGGATGGGCTTGGGCTCAACACATTGTCTTCATCTCAGATGCACCAAGTCTACACAACATCACTACCGAGGGTGGCCATCCCACGCCCTGACCCACCACACAACACCTTGCATGGCCCCACGTGGAGTACAGACTCCAAAAACACCTCCCTGTGCCTGAGCAAACCCTGTCATAGAATGACGGGTCAGACCTGGCCAGGTTCCTGCCAGGAAAAAGAGCTCCTCACCTTGGAGTTGGGACCTGCTGGTCGCTTCTAGCCAAATATTCATTTGCAGCATTGCAGAGATGGATATTGACAAAAATCTCCAAAAGCCTGTTTTCAGTAATGTTGTCCAGGGATCAGTATTAGTGTGGTTCCTCACACAGCATCTGACAGATGGGGCTTGCATTTCTCATTTTGGAAAAACATCGGAAAGCCCAGGGTTTGGGGGGAAATCCTTTCATTTTTCATCTTATTTCAGATAGGAAAGGTTCCAGTAGAGAAACCTAAGAACGCCTAAGAAGAAGTTGGATGCTGAGGACACCTCTCAGACCCAGCTCAGCCACGTTTCTGCCCTGCCTGTAAGGAGTTGAAGGCATCTGTGCAAAGGTTCTCACTCCCCCGCCCCAGCTGTCAAAGGGGAGTAATTTTGACCTTATTAGATGAGGCTGTGAAGATTAGTCAGTATTAGCGAAACGCTCTGTAGATGAGCAGTACTGATTACAGAGGGACTAATTAGAACCTGTTGATTTCTCCTTCTCGAGAGGCTCCAGCAACAGCAGCGCTAATTAGCGGGATAAGCCCAGCACGCTCCGGTGCATCCCACCGCCCCACGGCAGCAGGGACATCTGCACCAGCAGCAGCACAAGGTCTGTACCAACAAAGATGTAGGATTGTATGTTTCTTTTAAAGATGGTGAAAACACCAAATACGCACCACGGTGTAGGCTCCCTGGCTTGTTTTGGGCTGATGCCCCTCTTGCACTTTCCAAGGGAACTGCTGGGAGGTGGGACGGACCCAGCTGGGTGCTTTCCTCTGCCAGAACCAAGGGCAACTGCAAGAGCTGTCCTTGAGCCCCTCCAGGGTGCAAGTCTGGGTGTAGAAACTTCTCTGTTGAAATAGGCCAGAAAATGGGAAGGCCCAAGTCTTCACCAACCGCCTCCAACGCTGTGAGAGCTTCTTCAGCCAAGTCCAATTTCAGCCCACGCTTCTCTGCCCTTGGTTGATGAACACCACATGGCTGCCCAGTTTGGACACTACCATACAGCTACTGCAGACACAGGGAGCAGTAAAAACACTTTTCCAGCTTTTTTTTTTTTTTTCTTTCCTTCTCCGGTGTGCCTTCCCCATCCCTTTGCAGAAGCTGAGAAGAAACATTAGGCAGAAGACTCCACGGACCCAGAGCAGGCTGCCTCCAAGGCTTCCCCGTTGTGGAGCTCTTCAGCCAGGGATGAACTTTGCTACGCCCAGAAACAAGAAGAAAGAGAAGGATCACCCATCCACTTTCTGCTGGGGGTCCATCCCCTGTTTGGGAGCTGCACCTGCCCCACCATCTCTCCTGGTCCTCAGCGCTTCCCTGCCCAGCAGGTGGTAGAGGAGCTCAGTCTCCAGCTCAGGATACCAAGAAGTTTCTCAGTATTCACACAGCAAAGCCCGGAGTGGGACAGGAGGCACGAGGCAGGAGCCACTTCCAGAAGAGCACATTTTAAATCCACCCAAGTCAACGGGAGTTTCACTTGAGTTGTGGTGGTCAAATATCGCTCGTTTCCTCAACAGGAAAAGGATCTTCACACTTTCACTCTGCCAACCATCATCCCTCAAGAATAAGGCTGAGCCCCATTAAGTTCATATCAAACTTTTTCTAGCCTGGGCCAGAGAACTTACTTCCTTTGTGACTTACCTTTTAAATCCGTGCACCATCTACCACAACCCTCCAGAAGCCCCCGAGGGATCAGGGCACCCGCCAGACAAGGCTGTATAAATTCATCAATTCCAGGCAAAGCAGCAGCTTGGCATTTCTTGCTTCTGTACGTAACACAGGGCTTCCGAGACTGCCCACCATTTTAGGGCTCTCGTGGTGAAGAACCTAACTCTTAGCTCAGTGTAAGGGAGCCCGAGGCTGCCCCAGCCTCCACCTGCTGGGAGGTGCCATCCCCAGAAGCCAACTGAAGTCTCTGGACGGCAAAGGACGCATCGTTCAGTGACCATGCTTGACTACACGTCTCATTATAACCACAAGACTATCACACATGGCTGCTCTTTAGATCTTACAAGCAGAGAAAGGCTTGGAGGAGTGGAATAATTTGCATTTCTTAACTGTATGAGCCAGTGACAGGAGAAAGGAAACAGCACACGGTGAGGAATTCAATGCTTCAGCTACTACAGAAAATGCAGCACACGCCTCCCAGCACTGGGCACATCAAGGCTTAGAATTTGGCTTTGCAAATCACCCAGAGAACCCACACTTGCCTTTCAGCCACCCCCCGAAAAGCCTCCCCCCAGGAAGGCTGGGCTTTGACCATCCCAAGATTATCCAGTTGCCCATTTCCTCATCCATGCCCTGTAAAGCCTCGGCAGCTGGCACATGGAAGCACCAATGCAGCAGCTACTCCAGGCTTTACACCGATCACCAATATGTGAGGCCACTATTTTAAAAAAAAAAAAAAAAAAAAAATTAAGTGTGGTCTTTGAGGTTTCTGGTATTCCACAACTTCTACCTTTTGCATTGACCACAGGACACTGTGTCCAGGATGCGATGCCGAAGGCTCTGGCCACGCAACATCATCTACCACCTCACGATGAGGCAGTGAAGGTCACCACCAAACAGGTGGGTACTGCCCCAACTCCCACAGATCATTTTCTGAATCATCAGCAACTTCATTGTCAGCCAAACCACCCTCGTTCCAGGGCTGCAGGTTCTTGTGAAGGAATCCTACTGCCCAGCCCCACATCAGGCTGGTTCCCTGCACTGGTTTCCTAGAAGGAACACTCCGACTGCGCTGAGCTTCAGGGATCTACCCTGTAGGACAATCATCCAGCTACGGAAGCTGCATTTGGCACAAGGAATGAAAATTCAAGTAGCAGAAATGAGCTTTCAGAAGCTTTGAGAAATATCCTAAATGGAGGAAAAGAAGCAACTTGTTTTTGCCAAGGCGGCAGTTAATCTCATGGTGACCAAAGGAAATAGTTTTTCTACACACATTGTTAATTGAGGGGCTTAGACAATCTTCTATAGAATATGGGGAAACCACTGCGTAAGAAATGCAGAGACAAGACATGCTCAATTTCTAGCTTTTTATCACAGCCCAAAACACAAGAGCTAATTCTGGTTGCAAAAACACTGCAAGTTTCCCTTCCATTTTACTCCTGCCAGAAATTAAGTTTTCGAATGGACACAAAAATGCATGAGAAACATTTCATTTAATTAACTGTTCCCCAAATGGGCCTTGTTTTGTTTTTGTCGTTGTTTTGGGTTTTGCTTTTAAATACAAAGTAGGTCAACCGCACATTTTTTTTTAAAATATATAGCTGAAGTAGTTTGTTTCCAGACTCAAGAGATTAAGGCTCCTTAAGCCTTTAGGCCAAAAGCCAAGTAAAAATTTGGTAGTGGTGTGGGGAAGGTGCCCAGAGCCGCGCTGGGCCCTTGTGAAGGGCCAGGTGCCAGGAGACCACTCACCTCCACCAGCGCCGTCCGGATGCAAAACCACAGACCCGCACGAGAAACAATCCACAGCAATTTGTTCAGGACGTGCAATTTATTTTTAAGTGACATTTGTGTTTTCTTAGCAAGTCTGAGCTTGTGACCTGGATAAATCCACTCCGTCCCGACAGCGTTCCTAGTTAAGGAGCCCCAGGTGAACAGTCCGTAGCGCTGGCCCCTGGCGTGGGACAGCTCTGCTCTGCCCTTGAGGTGTCACTTGTGCCTTCTTCTTCCCAGGAGCTGGCACGAGGCACAGCTGAGCTACTCCGAGTTCTCCTATCCAAATCAGTTCAGCTCACTCACAAACAACTTCCCAAGCAACAGCCAAACAATCCACCGTCTCTCCAAGGTTTCTCTCGCCTCCTCTCAAGGTCAGCAGGTGAACATTTTTCATCCAAAAAAAAAAAAAAAGGTGATACAGGGTAATCAACAAAAAATTATAAACAGAACATATAAGGTTTGCAGCTATTTTATTTACAAGTATACATTTAACACAAAGAAACACTGATATCCAAGCCTAGTTAATAGTAGTGTAACAATATGCATCATTTTGATGATTATTCTAACCAACAAACTACACTGAAAAATTAATGCCAGTAAAATTCTTGGTCATAATATTAAGAAATACAATATATAAATTGAAAATATGATTGCTTAAAATTTGAAAATGGAAGTGAAGCCATTTGCACAGGAGTCAGAGTTTAACATAATCTGAAGGGAAAGGCTCCAAACCAACTGTTTATCTTTCAGGTTAACAGAAGAAAAAAAAAAAAATAAAAAAAAGAAGCATAGTTTATCCTTAAAGATAATGGGCAGTTTTGCTTCTTCAGGTAGAATGTATTCCCAGTGTTTTCAGGTTTTGCAGTGGAATTACATTACTGAGCATGAAGACTTCCCTTGTGAAGCTGCCCCATCGATTTTTTCTGCCTCCAAAATTATCCTCTTAAAAACATCAACGGCAGTCTGCAAAGAGAGAGTGCATGGTTAGTAGGTAAGAAGAATCTGCCTGCTTACTGGGAAAAAAAAAAAAGTGAGCAGTTTTACTGGCTACACCAACAGATAAATGCACGTCACACGCTTATTTCAAAATCAAAGAGTAAAAATATGGTAATTTCAGTTTTGAACGCAACCTTTTGCATTAAGAAAAGCATAACCCCCTTCTCCCCAGCAATCCTCAACCATCTCCTCTGCCACTGCAGGGGGGACAAGTTTCAACTGAGCCATACTCACAACGGAGCTAATAACTGTAATTCAGCTTTATTTTAAATAGTCAGCTTGTGCTGAGTGAGTGACAGCACTGAAGATTTTGAGGCTGTGCTGCTCCAGAGAATAAACCAGTTCACTTCCTCTCAGTAATCTTTAAGATTTTAGGTAATTCCAGAAGGCAGCAGATTGTTCAGCTCGAAACACTGACTTTGCACTGCCCAGTATGGGGGTTACTTCAACATTCCTGATTTTCTGACCTCACCTACAGGTAAAGACCAGCATTAGACAGGGTGCAAGAAAGAACATGAAGGGAAAACACGAGCCAAACGAGCCACTGTCTAATATTAAGCAGTATCCTTTGATATAGCCCTTCTGGGAGAGAGGGGGTTTATATTTCAAACAGCTTCAACTTCAGGACAGCCACTGCTAACATGGGGGTCACACAAACATCCCAGCTTACTGGAGGGAACATATGGAATATACAAAGTTCCTCTGCAAAATCTCAAGGCACACAAGCACCGTGGATCCTTTCACCCCTTCAGAGGAAACACACATGGGTGATTCCCAGGACAGCCACTGCTAACATGGGGCTCACACAAACACCCCAGCTTACTGGATGGAACATATGGAATATACAAAGTTCCTCTGCAAAATCTCAAGGCACACAAGCACCGTGGATCCTTTCACCCCTTCAGAGGAAACACACATGGGTGATTCAGCAGATTTTACAGAAGAATTCAATCACGTGTAGCTAGGTTTTTGGTGGGGTTTTGTTTCCAGATTTTACAGAAGAATTCAATTATGTGTAGCTAGGTTTTTGGTGGGGTTTTGTTTGATTTTAGGATAGTGAAAGATGGGGAGAGTAATATGTCTGGGACATCATCATCAATGCTACTTGTAGTAAATACCTTCCACTGCTAATCTTGTAAATTCAGGATTCACTCAGTTTTAAGGGTTTCAAAACTGTACATTCCCCTCCATCAGAACCTGCAGAAACTACAACACGCAGCATCTGAGATTGCCTAAAAGTAACTTAAGAATAAAACCATCCACACCACAGTCAAGGACAATTCTAAACTGCTCTTCTTTTCTACAGTATTTTCAAGTTGAAGAGTCACCATATGATCAGTACTCCAGCATGTTGAATCTTCAACTTAGAAACAGTCTCCTGATCATCTCAGGCATACCATTTTAAGTTTATCTAACTCTAGCCATCCGTTTCATGAGTTCCAAGCACATGTTCCTGAAGGAGGAAAGTATATTCATATATACTTTACATATATATATATATATATATACACACATATATACATATAAGCAGGCACATGAAAGCAGGTATGTTGGTTTTGGTCAGTATCCATAAAAGCAGGCACATTATGAAAGCAGGTATGTTGGTTTTGGTCAGTAGGCTTAAGAGCACTGTGATTTATGACCATGTTCTGACCTAACAGATATTTTTCCATCTCCATGAGGTATAATTCTTCTTAATTGGATCACTTCCAAATTAATCCCATTGACTAAAGTAGTCTTAACAAACTGAAAGCAATCCTAACAAGATTAGACCAAACGCTACGTTTCCCATATTTATACCATTTGTGCACAGTACTATCTCTGGAACTATTTAAAATACTTCACCAGCTGGAAATGGAGTATTCCTCCACATAATGAAGTTTCCCCACAATCCCAACTGACTCTTGACAGAAGTGGCTCATTCATCCAGTACTACACAAAATATTTCCTGGGCAAATTAGATTCTAGAACCACGATCAGGTCTGCAACTGCAATCAAACCAGTGCCACTAATGAAGAGTTTCCCTTAATCAAAACTTGGCGATATACTGATTTACACATACACTGCACCAATGTTACCCTATGTAAGAGCTGACATTTTCAATGGTTTCAATTTAACGCAGAAGTTCTTTATTCCTCTGCTTCAAAGCATCTATTTAAAAAAACCTCCACAACTTATTCTGTCAACCAAGCAGCTGTACATTCTGTCAAAGACGTGCTGTTTGAAACACCAAGCTGTAGGAGTTCACAGAGCTTGTTAATTCATTGCACAGAAAATATGTATTCACTGCGAAGGTTTAAGGACTCTACTACAGTTAACGCTTAGGAATTTGTAATTCAGGCCAAATATGCTGAAGAATTTTAGAATGAGCTTTTAAACAAGGTGGAAAGTTGTGTTTTGTGACAAGGAATAAAGAAGGCAGCCAGACTTTCTACGCATCTGTCTCCATATGGTCCCGTTACAGGATGTGGGTCACACCTAGCCTACAGAAAGCCATCTGGCTTTCTTCTACCTTTCTCCCCCTGAGGAAACAAAATAAGACGTCAGCCTGGGCAACACAGCCTGCTGAGAGAGCTCAGCACCGTGTGAGGGACACCAGAGGCTCAGCTGCTCTGCAGAGGTGTCCCTTGGTGCCAGCGGGAGCCACAGCTCGGGAGCTGCAGGGGGGTCGGGGACACACTGCCAGGAGCCAGAGCAGGAAGGTGCCAGCCCCCAAAGCCAGCCCCCAGCCACTGGAGCCATCCTTTGGTACGCTGTATTTTCCAACTCTGCAGCTGTTTTATTATTTCAAAGAGAAAACTCTCCACTGCTCGTACTCCTCTAGTTTATCTTGGCGCAGAACTGGGCAAAGGAACTCAAACAACAGTCAGATAAAGGGAGAGAGGTGTTTCCCCACATCCTTTGCCAGTCCAAACACAGTCTCCCAGGTAAACACATCAGCCCCCTGTAAAGGGGTTGACATCCCCACACCACTCAGAAACCTTTCTTCTGAGCTTGAAGTCGAAGCTGCTCTTGCAAAGGAAGAAATTCCCAAGCAATGGCTTTTTAAGAGAGCTCCGTTCTGGCAACAAGTAGATTCTTTGCTCCCACCTTGCCCCTTCTAAAACAAGTTTATCTAATGAATTTTGCATAACTAGATGAACACAGTTCGGCTGCTCATTACTACCTGAATCCTTCAAGTAAAAGTTGGCTCCCAGCTTCAACTGGGTTTAAGACCAGTTTGGATCCTGGTTGTATTTCAAACAGTTACCAATTTATTGTACTGGGATTAAGATGAAGCACTACACTATGGCTTAGGTGACACAAAGTTGGGAATTCTACAAGAAAGGCTCAAAGCTCCAGAAGGCAACCAAAGCAGTTCCACGTATTTGGTAATAATTAAGCAGCTTGAGAAGGTATGACAATAATAGCTCAGCAGCAATCTAAAAGAGGTCTTTTCCATTAAGCCTCAGATTTGCATTCTCAAAGCTCAAAGGTTTCCCTAGATGACTGATGTGCTGCTGATATGCAGGCTCCTCCAAAAGTCCTACCAGGTCACCCTGGTCTGGAGGAGCTGCTACAGAGCCTCAAATATATTTGACCTTGAGAACTCTTGCCAGCCACTACCATTTATCGGCACCGCAGCTTTGATCTTTGCCTCTCTCCCTTTCCAGCTATTCCAAGTCATGCCACTTCTGGAATGCAGTACCTTTTGATAACTCTTGGCAGAATAGGTATAGTTTGCTGAAGATAATCTATAGAACTATTTGTTTCCCAATATAGCAGGGCTATGCTCTTATCTCACAGATGCTCCAAAAAGGATGAGACCTGCTCTCCTCCCTGCTAAAAGGACATCACGCACCAAATAGTTTCCCCAATATAGCAGGGCTATGCTCCTATCTCACAGACGCTCCAAAAAGGATGAGACCTGCTCCCCTCCCTGCTAAAAGGACATCACGCACCAAACCAATTTCAGACCAGCGTAGTAGAAATTGTCATACTTTTACTCCACATCTCCCAAATACAGACAGCCAGGTTTCAGAGAGAAAGGATTAACAGACTTCACTGCACTCAGGAAGGTTTGAGCTCTCTGCTGAAGTTCTTAAGCTCTAAATTCCCAATCCAGTCCAGCTCATCCCTTTAAGTATCAAATTAGCTTTCTGTAAAGCAAAGAGAATCTGAAGCAGTTTTAGAAGGAGTTTAGACTTAATCTTGATAGGTGAGTTACATTTGCTGTACCAAGTCGGTACAGGTGGAGATTTAGATGAACCTCCAAGCAGAAAGTGCCAACAGACTTCATTTTCCAGTAACGCTGACTTACGTAAGGTGAACATTCAGTACCAGGAGAATGACAACACACCTTGTTATTAAGTTCAAAATAAACCCTTTCCCCCACCCCAAAACCAGAGACAGTTTCAGAGTATGAGAAGATATCCTGTCTTGGTAGAGGTCTATATATCAGCTGTTTTGATGCTATAAAATTAGGATATAGAGGAAAAAAACCACACATGAGATGCGAAGTGTTCCTAGTCTAACTGATAGGAAGGGATGGATGCTACAATGCCTGGCATCTCCTGTTCCACATAGCACCTCAGCTCCACACTTTGCTCCCAAAGCTCAATCTTGAGGTAATCATTCCTCTGCAACCACCTGTGAGAAGGCTAAGGCCAGTTTTGGGCTCCTTCACACTTCCGTACATCCCAAGCCTCCAAAGGAAGCATGCCAGAGAGCCCGCAAGATGGTCACATGCTGCGGGCAGCCATCTCAGAAGTGACATATGATCTTCCAAACTTCTGAAGCCAGACAAATTTAAATTTCATAATGTAAGAGGCACGAAGGAGGAATTGTGTTCAAGCACCTGTTTCTAACCACCTGCGCCTAAATCCAGAGGGACAGAACTCACAGTGACCTGTGATCGCTGTTCTGAAGGATCCTGCTGAAAGGAACACTTGGTAAGAACACCTCTGACAGCAGGAATGAGCACAACTTCTGATTATTCTGTGGGATTTGTACAGGACTGCACAGAATTTTGAATATCTGACATACAATTACCATTCTGATTTCCCTGGAGGCTACAAAGTTTGCTGTATAGATTTCAGCTGGCAGCACAACTTAATACAAACCATTTGCGACTAAGGAACTGACACAAATACATGGCAGTCAACAGGGCTTTGTTACTGCAGCAATTTAATATGCAAGACATGCCAAGCATCATAGAAAGCTTGTAGCTTCTTTGCATAAATATACCCAGCTTTTTTTTTGGCTTGAACCAAGAACAATACAAACTTCAGAAATTTTTGTCTTGAACCAAGAACAATACAAACTTCAGAAAAGTTACCAGTAAGATATTCTGCTAGATATGGATTGCTATGTTGTTACACACTGTGAACATATGCTAAAAGAAAAAGAGTAGGGGCAATAGCTCTGCCTAATCTAGAAAAATCAAGTCATTTAAAATAAAAGGGGGGGGAAATCAGGTGCTTTTAACTGGTTTATTCTTTACACTGTTAATTTAGTTTCCTTGGGTATGCATCTAAAGCTCTCCAGCAGTACAGAGAAAACAGAAATTTCAGGCTTTCATCATGCCCAATTTTGACAGGGTAAATTCACATCTTAGCCAGAAACAGAAGTACTGATAAACTAACTCCAAGTGTTCCACATCTGCAGAAAAAACTTTCCAGGGAAAGTCCAGCCTTACTCAAGTAACTTGTGGAATTGCTGACAATAGACATTGGACAGAAGCTATTTGTTCTGCTTTTGGGGACAGGGGAGAGGGGAGGAAAGGCTGCTTAAACAGGTCCTGTCCTAGCTATAGGATTGCCCTTTTGATTGTGCTGAGGAGGCCAAGGATGTCATATGCTGGCTTAAATATGAGACAATGTAAGTGTTTCTTCTGCATAAGGACTCATTTGTTTAAAATTAGCCTGACAATGTCCTTTTGACCTTATCATATGTCTATATTTTCAAAAAGCTAAAGCTTTGACATTGTTGAGACCTACAGGGAAAAAAAATAGGGAAGGAAAGAAGAAAAAAAGACAAAAAGACACCTCCCCCCAGTCTGCAGCAGCCTCTGCTGTATTGGAACACTTTTCTGTTCCAATACACTTTTCTGTTTAGGTCCAGAAAACAATTATTCCCCACATATCAGAAACAGAGTCTTGCCTGGCACCTTAAAAACATGAGGTTCATCCCCTTATACCCTCGGCTCCTCTGCAACAGCAATGACCTCCTATTTAAGGTAATGGCAGCAGATCACAGACACTGTTCCACCCACCACATGGATTTGGGTTTTCGTTTGTCACTAAGTGTTATGTTCAGTGAAGCTTAACGTTCAGTTCTTCACTTCCTCCTTCCATTTACAGTTGGATAGAAAAACCTGTGTACATAAGCCTGAGTGCAGACAGCCACTCTGTTTCCAGCCATCTACACAAAATATCCGTAGAGTACAAGCAAATATTTTAGCTTCTTTTATGAAGTGAAACTACGAGTCATTTCACTACGTTGCTATTTGAATAAAATTAATCTTAAATCTGTTACCTGATTTTCTTTAGCAGAAGATTCCAAGAAAGCTGCATTCCAGGATTCTGCTAAAGCTTTCCCTTCTTCATAGCTGATCACCCTAACCAAAGGAAATAAAAAAGTTTCTTTATAACTTGCAAAAGAATTAGAATTTGAGATGTCAGGAAAGACCCGAGTACTGAAGCACATAAATGCACGTAATAGGAATGTTTTATGAAGTCTGATCCAGAGCATTTGCTTTTGGCTGCTGTCAGATATACTACTGGGCCAGGTAACATTGCTATGCGGCCCAGAAGAGCAGTTGTCCCAAAGTATTGCTTTGTTTTCAGAATCTGTAATATCATCTGGTATTTTACAGTTGTGAAATTACACTTCTGTTACTCGTTTTGAAAAAAACCCAAAGCGTTAAACGACTGTCCTTGGAACCTTATAGCAAAAGTCAACATTACAACAGAAGTTCATGGCTCTTAGTTCACATTCTGGACGCAATTCCTTTGCCAGTACCTTATTTTAACCTACAATTTGATTTTAGTTAGGGAAAGCCAAGAACAAAAGCAGTGCGTCGCAGCCACAGGAATGCCGGCTGCTGTCTTGCATTTCACACGGCCTGGGGTTCACATACCGTTCCATATGCAGGTCTTTTTTATTTCCAACCAGCATAATGGGTATTCTGTGAAAGAAAGTTCAGAACTTCAGAACAGTTACAGTATACTGACCAAAGCACTAGTAACATGCCTGCAATGAAATGAGATGAAAGTGTCACTACTTACTGGACTTTTCCCACCATATCCAATAACTTGCCATGGATAACTTTTATCACTTCAAAACTGCAAAATAAAGGGATGAAGTCACACATGCACTCTGATGTTTATCCTTAATACCCAATACACAAGCAATTAAATGCATATGTAGGTTGCTGTGTTTAAAACTTACTCTATGTATAGTGGTAGAACTACAGAGATGCTGAAAGTCTTACCGATTTGCATACAACAGACAAAATGGTCCCAGAAGCAGCAGAGCCTGGTCTGTGCCTACCATTACAGCCTCCCCAGTTATGGTATTTGCAGACATAAATTACATTACCCAGGACCGATGCATCTAACAGAATCACTTAAAAGCCCTCCCACCTCTCATCTGGTCTGTATCTGCAGTAAGAAATTTATCTGCTTGAGTTCAACAATCCCGGATGAGCATGTCAAATTAAAGCAGTTTCAAAGCAAAAGTATTTAGTTAAGCACACCTTGAAAGAATACGTTATTTTTAAGAACACTTAGTTCATATAGAATCATTTAGTTTTAACGTGAAAACCAGAGGAAGCCTAAATTCTAATTTTCTATGGAAAGTGAGTAAATTGATCTGCAAGATGGTATCAAAACAGTGGTTATTCAAACACTTGTCTGTTCACCTACCGTGTACATGAAGTTTGAGTGATGGGAGATAAGAAGCAGTTCTGTGAAACACCAAGAACCAAAAAAAACCTCACTAAGAAAATCCACTGCATTTAGGATTTAGGCTGCATTTAGGATTTTTGAGAACAAGCTATAAATGGGGTTGAAGAGCAAATGTTGTGCTACCCTAATCATGTTATGGAAAAAATGCTGGTACACGAAGTGCACAATTCAGATTTGTTTTAAGAGAGAGCGGGACAGGCTCACAGACGAGACACACAATTAAACAACAAAAGAGTGAATGAAACTTTTCCAACTCCCAAGGTTGTTAGCTACAGGCAGTGTCTTGACTTGCACTGCATTTCAATTAGAATTGAAGCTTAAAAATAGAGCAGAACTCAAACAAACTTCCAACTCGGAGCTCTCAAAGAGCTGGTGCCCAAAAACCCTATTCAAGCTCTTTGAATCATTAAAACATCTCACTTCTGGAACAATAAATGCTACCATATTTAAGAAGGATTTTCCATCAAGTAGGTCAATTTCTCTGACTTCAGCAACAATTTTTGGGCCTGAGTAGAACACAGTACTTCTCTGTGTTTAGCTAATAGTTAGCAACTTAGTCTGGCACAACTCACTGTTAGTAACTCACGTACAATACTACATAGTACATAAAAATATGGAATCAATGAGAGGACTTTAAGGTTACAAAGAAGTTCTGCTGAAAAGGTATTAGTGAAATTCTGGCCTTGAGAACATGTCTTGGACTTTCATTCTTACAATTATTTCAAAATGAGTGTTAAGCAGAGCTTGGTTGTGACAAAGCTGAGAGGCACTGCTACACATGGAACTAGGTGACCCTGCAAACTTGAATAAAAATACTACAAAAAAAACCCCTCTGCTACAGCCACAAAGCTGTTTCTCAGTCTGAAGCGACAGGAAAGATCTAGTGTACTAGCTGCAGGACAACTGAATCACTAACATGGTGCAATCACTGTTTCCTTGCCACTATTAGGCGCGTTGTTTCCAGTACAGCCAGAAGAATGCCAATGCCACCTGAGGTTCCAGTGCCCAATGCCACAAAGTGTTCTTGTTTGACTTGGGTACACAGAAATGGGACATGAAGAGCCCATCTGCTTGCCTGGGACAGCTCACACGCTCCTTTTTTAGTAAAAATACTACAAATATAAACAACTGATCTTTGTTAACAGATCAAGGTGGAAACCAAAAGAGAACTGCTGTTCAAACTCAAAAGACAGTTCTGACACAGAAAAAGCTGCTAAGAACTGCCAGGAATTAAATTGGCTTGACCAGATCGTTTTAATGTTCTAGAAAGCTTCCCAAATTAATAAGGCTAGAAGGAGAAGAGACATACTTTAAGACAGATTCACCAATCCAAAAAAGAGCATCATCACATCAAGCTGTAAATCAGCAAGAGAATTGGGGAACAGTAAGAGCTCCTTTCCAGTTCTGTCACGCAAACAGGGTTACAGCAAACAGCTCAATGTGTGAAATACAAAAAAAAAAAATCCCCAAAACTAGCTGTCACATAATTGGAATTTAATTAAGTTCAATTAGAGCAAAAGCCTTCCAGTAACCTTGCTGCTGAGAGCCTGGGAATATGAAAAATGTAGGGCGTCAGCTTTTACTCAAGTCCCATTTAAACTTCCCACTGGAGGTGATCAGGGAAAGTGATAATTTTAGAAGAGCGTTTCTATGAAGTTTGCTGTCAAAGCTCTCCCCCCTCCTGGATCAATACTTGGATCAATACACACACTTCAACAGAAGTCAAGACAGACTGTGACTATAATTTGATTGCCTGGGCAAGTCATCCAAGTATTGTGTAAGACCCTTCCTATTGCCTAAACACTGTCTTGATACAGAACATATGGAATTGATCAAGACAGGATCGACACTTTGAAATTTAAAGGAAGAACCAAAAACCTTGGCATAAATGGATCAAGACTAAAACACTAATGAAAAGACTCCCTGCCTACATTCTTAACATAAGTTGTTCTGTTAGTATTTTCACCATAATTTGGTTTTTATTTTAACTGACTGAAGGCTACCACGGAAAACAGACTTTTATTTCTTCATCTGTGCTGCTAAACTCAAGATCTCATGAGGCAACAACTGGAGTAGCCGAAAAAGAACACGTCCTTTAGCTGCCAAGCAGGGAACAGCACGAGCTGCAGATGCCTCCAAGAGATCTGCCTTGGTTTTAGTCAAAGACATTGTTGTCCTTGCAGTACCACTTATCAACAAACATTTTTCTCTTCACTTTTTAGGAGTGGAGGATTGCTACTTAAGGCTGAGAATACTAACTCCTATTTCATACAAGTCACTCAGCACCAACACTGAATGTCTCATTAAAAAAGAAAAAAAAAAGAAAAAAGAAAAGAGGACTTAGGTAATCTCTAGTCACACGTGAAAGGCTAACATCTGTTGCATTTCCTCCAGATCACGTGCTTGCCCTTCAGTACTTCAGGACTAGAGATGAAAATCCAGAATGAAGGACTGCGAAAATCTGTTCAACATCAAGGACACTGCAAGCAATGGAAGTTTATAACCTGACCAAGAAGCACAGAAAAGCCAACAGGCAAGTTGTTTTACTGATATTTTATGATGGTCTACTAAAAGCACTCAAGATGACCAGTTTTCTTTGATTCAGAAGAAAAGAGGTGGAACACTTCGGCACTGCTAAAAAGCTGATCAGCTTCCTTGCAAGTAGAAGGGAAGCATCAATTTCTCTTCTACTTGATCAGAGTGAAAGGTCTGAGTTCTTAATCATTTGACTCAAACAAAAATTTAAGAAAATAACATTATTTTGGCTGTCATAACAAAGATGCTGTACAATAATAAAAATTAAGATCTATTCAATGACCAGTATTTAAACAAAGATGATGACCAGAGGAAGGGACAAAATAAGAAAGGATGACAAAAGCCTTACAAAGGCTGAGATGCATCTTGCAAATAAATGACTCCAGCTACGATGGTCTCGGTCCTCACATCAAAATAGACAACTAACAGCAAGGACAAAATAGATACTCTGGGAAAATTTTCAAATAAGATCATTTGCTGCAGCAGGCCAAGAGCGAGCCTACAGGGCAAAAGTCATATATTGCTATTTATATGAAAACTTCCAATGGCTAACCAGAACCCAAGACAAGGAGTCAGAGACATCTCAGTACTGTTACAAGCCACCAGGCTGAGGGACCGATCTAATGGAGCAACTAATGGAGTACTTCACATAAACATACAGTGCCCTTGAGGTTCAATGTTTAAGTCTGCCTTCGTCCCTGATACTAGAGCAACAAACTCTACTTATGCCTGAAATCATTTTGGTGTACTTTTACTTACACCTCAGAATAACGTAGCTCAGCCCTGTCTCATTTCTGACATGGTACCTTGCATTTAGCATGCAATGTGTCTGTGACATTTGGATCTGAGGGGAAATTTCTGAAAAAAACCATTCATTTTAACTTCCATTATACTTCTAAGGGAAAGAGAGATTAAATTAATTAAACGTGTAAAGAAAACATAGGAGCTGAACCCAGAATATAGCTGGTTAATATCTGAACTGGAAGAACACAACAGATTTTGTTACCTTTTTATTGACGTGACTGAATAAACAAGAATGTAGCCATTGATGTCTATGGAGTACGTCTGAGGAAATATGGAGTATTCATCCTGTAGAAGGAACATTTAAAATTACTTACTGCCACAGTTCAGGACTTGATGCTAGCAGATCACCATCAGGTCAGTTGGTCATATTTGAGGTGCGGGGCCATTTTGTCTAAGTAGTACTTTCAGAATTAGGTTTTTTCATCATAATGACAGATGTGGAATCGTTATCAAGTTAATAGAGTCAGTCTGTATACTCTAAAATTTAATCTACAGCTTTTTTGGTTTATTCCCTCTAAGACTATGGATCAGCTAAAGCTACTCCCAATCTTCTTATCCTGCTTAATTATCAGTTTGTATTAGTACAAAACATCCACTCTGTCCTACCACTAATTAGCAATTATGCCTCTTATCTTGCTGGTGATACATTTCAAATTCCTAATTCCAACAGCTGACGACAGGATCTAGCAGTTCATAATTTCAAGTGGTGCTGATCACATCTAAATTACCTAAGGGATCTGTTGGGAAGTGAATAACTGTGGCTTACTAACTAATGCTCAGCAACTACAGATGCAAGAAATACAGTTATCAGTTGCTTTATGACTAGAAGCTTACATTATACAAGTGTTTAATTTAAAATCAAGCACAAAACAAAAAAATCCACCAAATGGTACACCAGAAACTTAATCGCTGAATTTATGACCCCTGTAGAAAAGGAACTGATCAGACAGATAAATGAAACAAACTGACAGATTGCAGGTAATGCTACACAAATACTATGAATCCCACATTAAAAAATCTAAATTGCTCTAATAGATATTTCCAGAAAACATTTCCATTTTGACTAGAGCCATACTTCTTCATGTATGAGTTCTCAAACTTTTAAACCTGTGCTTCTTACAATGTTAATTTTAGCTTAAGATCACATAACCCCTCTGTATATTGTCATGACTGAACAGATGGAGCAGTGCAATTACGCAGCTTAAATCTGGAGAGCCAAAAGGAATCAAACCTCCTTAACTGGCAAACGAGTAAAAACCCTTTATAAATCAACTTCATAGATTCAGCCAAAAAAGTTTGAAAGAATAACACTTGACAAAAGATGCCCTTATTTGCCTTTATTGCTACACACTGAGGGCAGCCCTCCCCCAACTTCACTGAAATGCCAAACTGCCACTTCAGTTGGCCCTGTAATCCCAAAGTCAACACAGAAGGGATCTGAGCTAGTTTGCATGTAGAACAGGTGAAAGTGCAACCCTGTGGTTCTTTGACTTTACTCGGAATTTCTCAGGATTGTCCCAGCTGGAATTTGGTGTTAGGTAAGATTTCCTTTGGTACTCCTCTGATCCTGATCCAAGACTCCTGTTTAACTGAACTACGCAAATCTGAATAGATAACCGTGAAAGGTAAAGAGGGACGGGACAGAAGAGGAGTACCAAGAAAAATAAATGCCATAACCTCAACTGTTTCTAATTCATTACTTAATTTTTAGCTTGTTTGGAGAAGGAAGAAAAGCTGCAATGCTTCCTGGAACTTGTAGGTCAAATTAAGAATTTTGCCAAGTGATTAAACAATGTAGCTATAACTTTTCAAGTCACAGCCAATCTTTCAAGTATGTAACAAATATACAATATAGTCCCTGCTATGCTGTTTAACACGAGGACTCCCTACAGATCATTAAGCAAGACAGGATTAAGACAGAAATCTGCCCAAGCCACACCTTCCATAACCCAACATCATCTCTCTCCTCTAACCCTGTGAGCCAGAACTCAAAGTTCAGGTCATTCATAGGGAAAAATCAAATCTGAAAATACCCACAGGCTGGGAAAGAAGTCATTTTGGTTTTACAATACTGTACAACATTAAATCAACCCTAAAATAAACCTCAGCAATAAAGTGAAGCTACCCTGCCTTTCTACAAGGCTGTTCCTTCCTCAAAGACAAATTTTACTTTTGTCACTAGGGTACAATTGGATATATAAGGCAAAGAGAAAACGAAACCTATGGAACTTGCTTCACTGCTCACATTTCTCAGCCTGCCCATCTCTCAGCCTCCCTCCCTTCTGCAAAATATTCCCATCAAACAATCTTGCCCCAGAACGTGTCACCAGTATTGTGTTTCTGATCCCTTCAGACACCTCTGACAGATTATAAGTGGGTATAGCGTTGCTGATTAGCACCACAAGCTAATACCATACAAACTCAGCGTGGTTATTCTTGAGTCACTTCAAAGAAAGTGATTAAACATACCTAGAAGGTTACAACCCTTCTGAATAGTCTCCCACGTATGAGCAAGCGTCCTGTAGCTTTAAAGTCTTAAGCGCTGGCAGCGTATTTTACAACACTAACATTGTTAAACAGTACTCAGAGTTTGGAAAAACCCAAAGGTATAGTATCAGAAATCACAGAAGGTAAGAACATCTAAGCAATAAGAAGTTTCGGATAAAAATATAGGGGTTTAACAGTCCCTATTCTGTTTTATTCCTAATATATAGTTTTTCAAAAGGCAGAGCACTGCTGTGTATGGAATGTGAGTGTGAGTTCAGCCAAGCAGCACTATATAATGAACACCTGCACCTCATGGAGCTACTGACCACACTACAGGACACGCGGTCAGTGTCCCCTGTGCTCCCTGTCATTATGTGAAGGCTCAGGAGCACACATGAACCATCACCTAAAAATGTCAACAAACTGCAGTAGTTTATTGGTAGCCTGGCAAGTACGACCTATATATGCATTTCTGTCTATTCCCCATGACTATTTCAGAGATACAAGTCACAGTGGTGTACACAAATAGGAGCACACAAAGAGGAAAAAGTCATTAAAAATTTTCCCATGGTTTATGGAAGTGACATTTTCCATCTAAAGCAAGACTGCTTGTTTAGCCTGCAAATATCAAGCAAGCTACTTATGAACTTTTGGTACATCAGAGTTAAAAGCAGTTTCTTCTTCACTTTTTTAGGCATACATTCAATAAACAGGCAAAAAACCCAACAAACAAAAATTAAAACAAAGCCTTTACATAAACACTAGAGAAACACAGCTCCTTAGTGACTAAAGGACAAGGTAGAATCATTTAAGTTAATCTTCACCTTTAAAGGTATGGTCACTACCAACTTAGCTCTACAGCAGGATGAATACTTGTCTTAACTCTGATGAAAGACTCAAAGAAAGAAAGACGACTTACTTGGCCAGCAGTGTCAACCAGCTGAAGGTGATATTCTTGGCCATTTACTGTGATCAGTTTTGTAAAAGCTAGAACAAACAAATACATAAACATGTCAGCATTATACACAGGGAAGGGATCCAAAGTCACTCATCTATGCCATCATCAGCCAAGACACTAGGAAAAAGAACCTCAGTTATAGGCTTATAAGTAGCAGTAAAAGGCTAGATCAGGTGGCTGTACCTTTAACTGTTGTACTGCAGAGAATGAACTCAGAAATTCACTGTATTTCAAATTTCAGAAGATTCTCACATGGGATGCAGAAGTTTCTCCTTTACTTACTTAAAAGGAGAGAGTAAAAAGGGTTCCTACATGTATTTCTAAGAGACTTCCAGGCAACTGTAATTTGTGGTAACACGAGACACAATTAGCATCAAAGCTAAGTATGAACTTATTATAGGATATTTCCCCAGTTTCCAAGCAGTTTAGCATATCAATTTCCTAAATGTAAACACCATGAGGTAAGTGATCTGCATTAAAAAATAAATAAAAATCTTAGAAGGCTAAAACACAGAGTCTAAATAATAAGAATTTAGCTAGAAATTCACCATGTTGCCTTCACATTTGCCGTAGCTGCCAGCCTTTCTGTTCCTCACTCAGGAAGTACATCCAGTCCCTAGAAACAATGAGAATGGCTTCTCTTCCTTGGATTCACAAAATGCCAACGCACTGTGAGCTGAGGAATCTTACTCAGTGTTTCTATTACACAACTGCAAAAGCAAACAGTGTCCGGGCTCCTGTAGGAATAATGTACTACCGAGCACCACCTGCACCAACCAGAGCACTCAAACCCACCTTCAGAGCTTCACTCTGACCTTCGTGTTGCACTCAAGACACAATCACTGGACAGCACTGATAAATTGAGTAAAGTTTGTGTTGTCCTCTGGTTGAGGTGGTTTTCTCAAATACTAACAGTCCTATGAAGGTTCATCTTTCCTTGCAGTGATGAGCAGGGAAATCACTGCAGTGACCTGTTCATCACACTCTGAAACTGTTAGTCTTTCCTGGCAGTGATGAGCAGGGAAATAGCTAACACTGCAGTGACCTGTTCATCACACTCTGAAGTTGTCCAACAGCTTCCTGAAGCTGCAAAGTTGAATGTTCTCGGTCCTGCCATGCAGAATCCTGCCTGGGCCTTCCAGGGTCTGCTAGACACTGAAGTTCTCCAACTTTCCTCCTCCCTGCCAATGCTTGCTGCCCTCTCAAGTCTCCACAATGTGAGCATTCTCTTGAGCAAGTGGGCTGAAATATCTGAAACTGGAGGTTTCAACCCATCTAGTAAATCAAAGCACCCTTTTTAAGAAAGGGAACAATTCAAAGAGCAAAGCCAAACTAACACAGAGTGTCTAAGTAAACATTTTAAAGCGTTACCTACAGTTGCCACTGCAATATTGGCAAGTGCAATCTGAAATGGAGCCTCAAAGAGAGATCTCCCACCTTACCCTCTATCCCCTAAGAAAGCTGCTTTAGCACATGTGCACGAGTCACTCTCGAGTCACTGTGGGGACGCTGCTGTCATCGCTGCACAAAATTTCAGGGTTATAAAGCAAGAATCCACAACAGCTCTTTGCCCTGGATGAATGCTGTGGTGGGGAGAGAAGCAACCGTTTGTTTGACCAGATGTTAAGAGACAGCGTTGCTATATACAATAGCACTGCCTCCAGAGGGAAAACAGACTCATCTGCAGACACGCTGCATTAACAGGTATATTAAAAATAACAGTCTCTAGTCTCTTGACACTTCACATACACATCAAAGCACTCTGCAATCAAAGTAACTTCGAGAGCCTCATGAAGTTAATATTTAAAAAGGGAGAGGGACAGATGGCAGCTTTTTCAGACTATTCTAGAAGCCTAGAATAGACCCAGAAAGACATCATCATCATCGGTACAGGAAGCAGAGTGTGACAGAGCCAGGGGAAGGGAAACAGTGGAGGAGTCACCACAGACTGGGTGAGGAGAACTGTTAGCTCAGTGCAGTAGCACCAGCACCAGCCCACTGCATGAACACAAATCTGCTTTGATGCAGGCATAATTAATGACTCCTGTTTCTTCGCTGAAGCTTTTAAAAAATATTCCTGGTAAGAATTTCATCTTGGGGAAAAACCCGCAGCTGTATTAAATGCAATTAGTGAGAACAGTTCCCCTTGATCCAGAGGAAGTTCTATCATCCACTATCCTGGGACTTACTGCCTTCTGCTGTGCCCATGAGCAAGACAAACACCCGATAATAGGATCTCGGCACAGTGTGGCTCTTCCTGTGTGCCAAGGACAGATGCCAGCAGACCCGAACAATCTCTGCAGTGCTGGTCATAACGTGAGCATCTGTGAAACGCTGCTCAGCAGCTGAACCATGGGGGGAACCTGGTTCAGCTCCATGAAGCAGATGGGTCTCAGAACAGCACACACACCTTGCAACACGTAACTCAAGTGTAGCTATATGAAGAAAGCTGCAGTCCCCACCTTCACCTACAATTGTTCCTAGTTCTGATGCACTGCTGAAACTTGGAGAATTCAGCACTGGAATGAGTAGCACAGCACCAGACACACACATACAGTTCAGGGTGCAGCAGTCAACAGCTGTGTTGCAACAAAACTAAAGCCACTTTGCCATCAGAAAAGGTTCTGGTAAAATTACATGCAGAGCACAGCCCTGAATGCTGCTGCAGCTCAGCACAAGTGTAACTTTATGCGGCAAATCCATGAGCTGCTGATCTTCATTACCCCAAGATCAAGTATATTGCAATTAGAATTACATGAATGAAGTGATTTGCATATGCAACTCAAGCGACAGTTGCTGTGAAAACAAGACATTATGATAAAAAAAAAATAAAAATCAGTACCAGGCACATGAGTGCAGGCTTTGAGATCAATAGTGGTACTGAGTAAAGGTATGAGAGTGGTGTAACATTATTCCCATAGAGCTACCGGCTGGTAGCTAAATACAGCCACCTCGAAAGGCTCCTCAGTTACTACCTTCTGCATCCCTTTCCACTTGTCTTCACTCCAAAGTCAATGCCTGTCACTAATCTGCCAGGACGTCTTTTACAACCCTGGGATGTGTAATGCAACAAAGCTATTTTTAATTTTTCTCAGAAGCCTCGTTTCCACCCCTTGAGAAGACTTCTCATCAGCAGCTCCTGGGAAAAACCATACTTCACCCTTCCAGCGCAGCTGCCATGACACGCACGGAAGAAGTTTAACCTTAAAGATGCTATTTAAGCCTACAGATATCCCCTCCAAAACTAGGGTGCCTCCAGCTCACTCCCCATTTCTAATACGCTTCTACTCACAATTATATTAAAAAACTTGGGGTGGTAGGATGCCCATGGGGGAAGACTGTTCCTTTCCTCAGGGAGCTACTGAGCCTGTTTAGTGAAGAAAGGAAGACCACAGAGCTGTGGCACAGTGCTAGAAGCCTCTCCAAAACTGCAAAGAAAAGCAGAAAGCAGGCAGACAGGCCTCAGAGGAGCTGGAGAAAACATTTTTTGAGACGTGGGCAGTCAAGTCAGCTTTCCTGCAACACAAAGTCACTGAATTAATGATAACCAAAGACATCCCTGTGAAGATGGGGGTGGGGAGAGTTACGTGCACATCTTCATTATGTATTCCTTCTGACCTATTTGCTTTGAGTTCCAAATTAAGATTCTAGTTTTTATTCCAGTACAATTTTAGTTCTGTCTTGTTCTGGTCTTAGCTCATCTGAGCTAACCTGCCTTCAGAGCCCCATCCAGCTCATTCTCCGCACAGATTCCCTCCACGCACTCCTGCTCTCCAGGGATCTTCCTTCTCTTCCCAACACTCCCACAAGCAATCCTTCCATTAGTTTCTCAACCTGGTGCTCTCAAGAATAGCCACCCATCCTTGTGTCACTCTTGCGGAGACATTCAAAAAGGGAAAATCTCTTTTGCTAAGCAATTAGCTCACCTCCTCTGTGGCCACAAAACGCTACAAGTTACTCTTCCTGATACACAAGTTTAATAGAAGGAACTGAACTCAACATGCTCGTTAACTTAAATAAACTAACTTTTCTGGTTCTCATGTAATATAAGCAAAGGAAAATGCAGCAGTGAAGCAGTGCTGACTTTAACAAACACTAAGTGAAACCTGATGCAGCTTATTTTCCCTTTACCACTTCCAAAGAACGTGGAGATTTTCACACTGAAAAAATTAAACAACTAGAATATTAGCTCTTATTCCTATTGTTCAAGGCTTATATGCTATGCAAGTTGTTCCTGTAAGAGCTTAACCATAGCTTGCCTTCTATATAATTTAGCTTTACAGTCATTTTTTTTGTGCAAGTTTTATCACGTGAAGACAAAAATTATAGAGATTAAGCTACCAGCAGTACTGCAGCTTTCTACCCTTTCATCAGTGCCAGTAGAATACTGTAATCAATTATCAGTAACAGTTTTCTGGAGACAAAACAAAATCACACAGGCCAGACTATTCTTTAGCCTGTACTTTTTTCATTTCCAAGTTTTCTGACACTAAAGTAGACCCAATGACTGGATGAAACTGAAAAGGTTTTATAACCTGCTATAAAGCACTGGAAAAATACAACCTTCTCCAGCACCACCCCCTGTATAAGAACCCCGACTTCTCAACCCTTTTTGGCAGCATGGTCAACCAGGTTTGAAATTACAAGCTAGGAAAACAATAAAAGACTTGATTACATACTTTGTGTCTTATGACCCTGCACAGAACCAGAAACATAGAGCTGGGAGTGTCAACAGACTGGACTGATTAGAGACCTGCATTTAGAAAAAGCATTTTAAAAAGATGAGGAACCTAAGTCAAAACAGTGATTTTTATACTAATCCCATCACACTACTTTCACATATTTGTCTTAAAAAATACCTCCAATATATTTTAAATTTTAGTGGTAAATTTGAAAGTGTTATCTCTTCTGTTCTACCCAGAAGCATATTTAAAACATTCTCTGTCAGGCCTTACAGGGCTGAAGGATGGGACAGACCTCCTACTGTTCTGAACTTGAGTGCACATCTTCTACATGTTCAACCCATACTTTCCCAGCAACATGTTCTGATGCAAGAATGGCCCTTCAATTCTCTACCTTTCAGAAAGGAAATTCCTCCAGCCATGCCGTAGATCACAAGACTTTCTCCAAATGAATAATGCTGCTTGTTTTCCAAACAAATAAGAAATGAAGTGAAAGCTAAGCCCTTTCAAGATGTCCCCTCCCAACAAAATTTCGTGGCCATGATGACATGCTCAATGTTTAGAGTTCAGACCAAGCAAGCAGTGCAGACTACAAGAGTTAAATAAGCCCAGAATTAATCCAGAGTGTATTTTCTTATAATTAAGAAATGCTACCAGAGTGAGACACAAAACTTACTAACAGCAGTTACAGACAATAGGTTTCTGTGGACAACAAGAGCTTGTAAAGGATGAAAGAAGTCAACCTCATATCAAGGTGTGAAAATCCTAAAAGAAGATACACTCAGTATTTTGGAGAGACTTTGACCCCATGTCTCTCAGGCTTTATTCCTTCCCATATACCTGCATAAAACTAAAAGATTACTTGAAATATTTTGCATTTATATAGCACAGACAGCAAAAAACAACCTGCCTCACCCGATATTAAGATTTAAAATACAGATACTTAATTCCAAATGTTTTGTTAACAACTTTAATTCAAAACAAACCTTGTTTATAATTCTAACAAAGTGAAAAGGGATGATAGAAAGTGTTAATGTTAATGACATCTATATAAGGACTAAGAGATCATTCAGGTTAAGGGGCAAATTATCCACCCTGAGTCACTAAAGCAAATTTAGAGCTTCTTCAGAAAGTAGCATTTGAATTTTAGTTCTAAGCAATAAAATAATCCTGAGTAAACTATCCTGATAGCTACTGATTTGTAATCATTACCATATATACCCAAAAGAAACCTTATTCGGGTGATTATTTCATTCAAACTTCCAGAGTATCACACAAGCTTAAGATCCTATTGCATGAGTTCAAAAGAGCAAAAACCCGTGCTACCACTGCAGTTTACAAGTCATTAAAATACAAGAACTCCAGGGTTACAATCTCGAAGTCAAAGTTTTATTTGCCACCTGATTAAAGTGAGCCAATATCATCAAGTTACTCAGCCCAGCACCACAGCTGCTCAAATACTTTGTGGCCACCACTAGCTCAGAAAGAGGTGGCTGGATTGTAACAAATAGCGGGTTTAACTCACCTCTGAAGTGACTTGTTGCTCTTGGCAGCATTTTTAGTATTAGTACCTCTACTCACCCACTATGCCAGCTATTCACAAAGGCACTAATATTAAAAAAACTGCCAAGAGAAAAAGGAGATTTGAGAAGTCAGTTACCTAGTACTTGCAGCAAGTTGATAGTTACCAAGTGGTTGGAAACAAGTAATTTAAAATATTATCCTTTTATCGTGGCCACAGCAAGTCTACCTTCTACGGTAGCCATTTACTGCTGACTGGTATTGCTGGCTTTGAGTTTATCTGGATATACTGATCAAATGAGACATCTGAAACTTTGGAATACTTGTATCTAGTGGCACATTTTCATATAGGTATGACAGACTTCATTTGAAGTGCCCTTCAAGGGAAGCAGATGTTCAGCAACATATATATAATATATGAAGATGATGCATTTTAGCCAAATCTATTAGGTTTTCCTTCATGTAGTGTTAAAAGAGAAATATGTGATTTCCACACTGCAACACTGCAAGCTGGGTAAGCACTGGTTTAAAAGAGTAATAAAACTTAACAGTTAATAATGAGCTTTAATGTTAATATGTAAATGCCCATGTAATACATATAATCACAACGGCTTCTGATAAAGGTTAGTTAGGTACAGAAGTGCAGCTTGGCAGTTGTTTACTTACTGTTCTCTATGGTTGGATCATATGAATCAACAAACTGTCCTTCCACAAACTGAATCGTCAGTGAAGATTTTCCTGTAAAGCAAGGAGAAAATAATCTGTATTGAAACAAGTTTTCAGGATGTAACCACTTTACACTTACTAGTAGATACACTGTTTTTATTATAAGAGCCAACATGAGCTTTGTATGGTTCATTTAAACTATTTATACATGACAACTGGCCTATTTTTAAATTAAGGGCCTATTCCTAATAACTGGGTCTCCTGAATATATAAAAAGTAGTGCAAAAGCTACTGGGCATGTGTTCTGCTTTTGTTTTAGCATAGCATAATTTAGGCACCTCCTACAGCTTAAAACAAATCTAAAAGTAGCAGTGTCTAATCCTCATAAAACTAAATTTAACAAATTGCTATATTTGGAAGATTTTTCTATTGAGAAGCAAGGAAAAATAGAAATAATCTTCAGCCACTGCACAGAAAACTAGGAACTTGGTCAGAATTAGCCAAATTTAATTTGATTAGGAGATTGGATATATTTCCCATGACAAAAAGGATGACAAAAGATGAATATACTCTCCTATTACTCCTTTTAGGATTACAGCAGACAACACACTACAACGGACTGGTGGACGTTGTATTTTAAGCACAGTGACTGAGGGGGCATCAATGGATTTTTTTTCTTTTAAAAAATTTAACTGCTACCTTTGCAGACAACTTAATGTTCCCAATTTCAGTTATGCTGATCTGACCCTACACCCTCCAATAAAGAGTAACACAAAATGTTGCACTTAGTAGCAGATTGAGAAAAATGAAAACTAATTTAGACTTGAAAGATTTTACAAGATGGCAAAAGCAAATAGCATTCATGGATCGTAAAAGCACCTTTAAAGCTCTGCAACTCAAGACTTTTCAAAGCATTACTGAAGTCTTAACACAATTTCCATTACAGCACATCATCTACATTTGGGAATCTACTAGATCCTATTACATTGTGTTTACTGGAAAAATACAATCTTATGAAGATTGCCAAGTGCATTAGCTGCTTTTGCACATGAGCATATTCTTCATGTTCCTTTAAACTCTTCTCATCAGCAACAAGCATAAACAAAATATGACCTCAAGTTAAAATTTAGACTCTGGATCATCCTACTGAGTGGAAGCCTTTCAATGACTTGTAGGTAACCAATATTGTGGTTGAACTATATAGTAAAAGTATTTTCAAGAATTAATTCCTTTGGATAAAGATTGCCCACTTGCAGTAGTCAGACCATGCTATGTTTATACTTTGTTGTGAAAAAAGTTCTTTCCTAAGCATTCCTTCAGGAGACACTGAAAAACAGTTTTCAACTTCAACCCCCCTCTCCCCCCATTGCTTCATCATACACAGCTCTTGACCTGTTCACATTTGACTTTATTATTATCAGCATACTTAGCAAGTCATTTTGTTAAAGACATTCTGAAAAACTGCACGTCAGACAAAGTACAAGGATCAAAGTGATGCAAAGGAAGTTTGGCTTAATATTTATATTACATGCACAGCCTATTCCTTCATTAGCTGCAACACTTCCAGAATTTACTTCTCCACAAGGAAGAAAACACTACACAAGGATCATCATTTGGGGATTTTCCAACAGCTACAACCTTCATCAACTCACTGCTTCGTTAATTTTGACACCATTGCCCAGCTCTGCCATGCTTATCCCTATGCTGTCTTGGATCAGTCACATCAGTTTATTCAAGACACAATGCTAAAAAAATCCAGACAAACTCCCAAAAGACCAACCACCACAAAACCTTTTAAGAGTTGCTTTTTCTCAAATCAGGCTCTTGGATATCGTTTTCTGATACATCTAATAGTGCAACTAAAGCTGTTATTCTCACTGTGTGTAAGTTTACAGAGAACATTGCACTTTAAACTCTTGCTCCAGCAAGGGGGCCGGGGGGGTAAGCAATCACACACATCTGAAATCACCCTAATAAGGACAGACTTAGAAATCAGACTATGCATCCCAGCAGCTGAGACTGTGTATTTTGGACACCACTTGAGAGTGAAATGAACTTTCAAGCTATTTATTCTTCAGCTATAAGCTTAAGAAGTTACTACCCAGAGTTCATGCTTCCAGGTTCTTTGCCAATACCAGCACATTAAGCACTCAATTTTAAAACAAAGGTAACTATTCCTGCATTAGGCTGCTATATATCTTCAAGATAAGAAGAGCTAAGTTAAGCACAGATCATCACTGAACATTTTTCCTCCTAAGAAGGATCCTAAACTAACTGAAAGACTTGACTGCTACCGTCTGTCTGTGCTAAGTCTGGAAACTGAATACTAAAAAGAAGTTGGAGCCAACAGAAAATGCTGCCTTTAACATCCAGCTGTAATAATCACTGCTTTCCTCCTAACAGTGAAAGAGGAGGAAATAAAAACAGACAAAACCCGTGTTCCAACACTCTCTTCTTGAATTCCTCCAAGCTTTGTACCAAGTCTTCCAGTAATGACAGCTCTGTGATCACGAGAGGATGCCTTGCTTTCCTAGACGAGGCACAGGGAAGTTCTCCAGCCTTGGATTCAGGCTCGTACCCCCTCGGGATAAGTGCATGAAACAGTATCCCACTAAACCAAAGGGGACACAGGAAATTTAAAACTGAAGTCATTAACACCCCGCGGCCCCGTCTCAGCCCGTGCCCAAGGATCATGAGGACCATGTAAACAACAGCCCAGCTTGAACTTTGTCCCACAGGTTTTATTCCAGGCCTTTGACCTACGCTCATGGACAGAGAGGAAAATTAAGTTGACAATTTAGCTCCTATCTCCTCTTTCCCCGGAAAGATCAGGCAACATTTTCAGAGAGAATTACAACATAAACATAACGTCTGCGAGGCAGGGGCCAAGGAACTGTACACAACTGTGTTTGCTGGTGTGCTGGCTCCATCTCGGAGCCTGACAGGGAGGAGGATGCGGGGAGACACTGCAGTCGAGTGAGCAAAGCACAAGAGCACCTGACACCAGCAGTGAAGACTTAATTAATTGATTACTCAAGTGTGCATACCTCAAAAAAGGCTCGGCTCTACTATGCCCTCATTTGGAAAAAAAGCCAAATGTTTTTTTTTTTAGTTTGCTAAGTTTTTTCTTGTAGCATCTTCCACGCTGGTAGATGTCCACTGTCCTATCCACTGTCCTCAAGAAAATAAACATCTGTCAAGGCCAACAGGAGAAGTGTCACAAGCACAAGCAAGACAAAGTCTGCTGGAAGTGGCTCACTAAACTGATGGTGACTTGCGACTTTAAGATGAAAAACCATTTGCAAAATCTTACTAGAGCAGATTACGGTTTCCCCTTTTGACTCTGTTCAGAATCGGAGAGCTCAAAGTGACTACAAAGAAATAAATGGATCAAATAAGGGCAACACTGGGGCAGGACAAGAGAGCGACTCCCCCAGCTGTACTTGCTATGGCAGCTTAAAGCACCAGATACTCCACAGCAGAGGACTTGTAAGCACGATACTCCAAGTTTACTAACTCTCCCTGGAGGAAAAGGACAGAAGGTAAGGGCTGGGAGGAATGGGTATTCTAAATATTTAGAATACAAGTCCCAGGAGGCCTAAACTTAAGTTGTCCAGAACTACCCAAAGGGTATTTGCATACAGAATTTGTTATTTATGACACGATGCGGGAGTGGTAAAGAAAAGTTTTTCACTGTCAAAACAGAAAAGGAACAGGTTTTCAGGCAGAAGGCTGTTTCAAAAAATAAAGCTGTTGTATTCCTGCTCATACAATAGACCACTCGCTATGGAAAGCGGAACATCCCATAAACACTGCGCGCAGTGCAGTCACAGCACATCAGTTTCAAATGCCATTGCCATTGTCGAGGCAAAACAATTGCCAAATTGAGTTTTTACTCATCCTTTTACTGCTTGGACAAGAGCTGTGGTATTTAATTTAGCCTTAACATTCAAGCTTTACAACACTAGGCAGTTTCCCAAGAAGATGAGTAAGGGAGCATGGGTGGGCTCCTGGACAGCTGGCCTCCCCGGGGAGACCATGCCCTCCTGTTGGAGCACCACCACCTCCACACTGTCCCTGTCCCACATCCCCATTCCCCTCGCAACAGGGAAAGCCCAGATGAAATTCCCATCTGCAGCCAACTTCCCCCCAAACCCAGGAGCTAGAAATGATGCAAGTGGCCAGCGAGCAAGTCAAACAACAGCTCCACAAGCAAGGCATTGTGCAAGCTGGGTTCTGCAGCTGCCCTGGGACGTGGCATCCCCCCGCCGACAGCCACGGGCAGCACAGAGCACGTTATCTCAACAGGAAGAATTTCTCAATACCCGAAATGGTCTGCACAAACTATCAGTAAACAGCCTGATGGGGTCAAGAGCAACAACTACCGAAGAGTTACAATTCTCCATTCTGTTAGAATTTCAGATGCATACTCTTTTTAACCCATCTTTTTCCATTAAAACATCTGCTTATGTACTTTCCTTAATTATTAAACACTTAACACCTGGCAGCATCTAATCCAGTCCTACCACAAGCCTAGCACCTCACCTAAGTTAGTCTCTATGTAGATCTACTCAGCCTTACCTACAAGAATAAACTAGTTTAGGTTTTGTCACAAAAGGGTTCAAGAAATTTCATAATGAAATGGTGTCACTCCTATCAAATTAGCTAAGATTTCCTGCGTACCCAGCTTCCAACATCTCACACACAGCTATACTCAGCTTACTATGCTTCACAGAAATTAAGCTTTCACACTGAAAGTTAGACTCAATTTAACTTGAACGTTGGGATCTTTATCTGCTTTAATCCAGAATACCAAGGCACACGAAATGGAGAAACCAGCATTTCCACGGTGCAGATCAGCTGTTCATCCTCAGAGCACAGAAAGGGGCAGAAAAACCTCCATCTGCTCCAAGAAGTTAAACTGGGTAGCAAAGGGAATTATAGTATCACTCTTCGACAAAAATCTTTTCACAAGATAGCAGATGATCTCAGAACCCACCTCTAGCTTATCATTCATCTCAGGCTTCATCATTAGCAACTTTCTATGGTTAATTAAGATTTCCTTCCCTCCA